AACGAACTCCTCTTAGGGAATTTATCTGATCTGCTTCAAAATTGGTCAGTACAGTCAAAACATGGTGCTGAATGAACGCTGTTGAATTTGTAACTGTACGTTGAAGGGCGTGTCCGTGGCGTGCCGTCAAAGTTGGCCATTTTGAAGAATGCCACACTGTGATGACATTTTTGGCATTTCAGGACTTCTATTTTAACTAACTCCTCCTACAGGTTTTACTGGATCTACTTCAGAATTGGTCAGTGCAGTCAGTTTTCTTCGTCCAACATTGTGCCCGTGGCGTCCTGTGGCATCCAATTTCAAACCTTAGCCATGAAAGAGGGATTCGTAATAACTTCTGCGTACATGATCCGACTGCAACAAAACTTCACACGTTCGATAAGAGTCCCGCCCTGAACACGTCTATGTGATAATATTCGGTAACAGTTAGAGCGCCACCTAGCGGTAACAGGAAGTATTACGTTTTATACTTTCATGTTCTTCTCCTAGCAGGATGATCAGATCCAGCTGAAATTTACTTATGAAATGCAAAACACATTGTTGATAATATGAGATGACTGCGGTGAGGGGGCGTGTCTGTGGTGGGAAATTTTGATGTACCGCCACAAAACACGAATTTGCTATAACTTGAGTGTACATTGTCCAATCGGCTCCAAACTTCACATGTCTGATAAGAGTCCCGCCCTGAACATATAGTGATAGTGCCACCTAGTGGCAACAGGAAGTAAGCACTGCGTGGCGATTTTGAGCTGATTTACGTGAGATTTTCATGTCGTGGTCCGCAGGTTGTTACGACGGCACGTGACGCGGCCGCAGCACGCCCCATGTTGCGTGGAGTGCGAGGTCCCGTCCATCGCTGCTTGCAGCTTTAATTTTGTATTTTAACCTTAATATAAACATTTTCAACAGGAAGGAAACAGTGGCACTCCATCCCAATAACTCTGTGACTGAAACTAGGGCTTAAAAACACAATAGTTGATAATAACAGTCGCTAATAGACTGATAGTGACTAATATACAGAAGCTAATGGGCATCTTAATAAACAATCAATATTGTGATTATTTTGAAAGATGTGTGCGATTGACGATTATGAAAAAAAATAAAATTAATCAAATTATGATTTTGTGATATTTTGGGGTGTGTACCAAACAAACCTGTTTTCTTAAATCCTGAACAAGATTTGTAGACCGGGGAAGTTCTGCAGCACTACAGTACTACATTATAATGCTGTTTGTTACACATTTTACCATAAAACAATAAAGCTCTTACGATTTGCATATTGCTTGTTACTGTTGTTGTTTATGTTTACATAATGTATATTTTGTTGAGCTTATTGTCTTGTTTATTTATGCTATTCTGTGTATGAACATTAAGACATGTTTTTGTCATATATGAGTTGATAAATTTAATATGGATTTAGTCTATAAAATCTGAATGTAGTGGGGGAAAAAATCAAACAATTCTCAGAGCCCTTGATGACAGTTTCAAGTGTATTGTTTTGTTTAACTGTCCAAAACCATAAAAATACTCAATTTACAATAATATTTAACAGAGAAAAGTAGCAAATCCTCACAATTATTGGCAATTTATGCTCGATATATGACATGATTAAGTTTTCAGTGACTGATTAATCGATTAATCTACAAACGAACAAAAATAGTTTGATCACAGACAATACTTTTGAGTTCAACTGATGAAATGTATCATTAAAGACCTAATGTATATTTCTCTGATTAAATAATTCTGTTAAAACATCAAATATTCAATTTTTTTTTATTTAATATTTAAACTTTATATTCCAAAACCCAACCCTTATTGCAGCTTTACTCTAAATCATTTTATTCTGAAATGTAACACCGGAAGTTCTGCATTTCTCCTTCTACCTTGACCCAGTTGAATCATCCAGGCAGGGTAAATATGGTAACTCAACGTGCCTCACCCACTAACGTTAACTAACTATGATAAAGTTATAGTCCCCACCCTGCTCTGTCTTAACCTTTTTTATTTTTTATTTTGACGACATAAATCACCAACAAACCCACACCCTGAATCCGGATCCACGGAGGCCATTTACACCAGTATCTGTACATCGGGATCAGCTCTGTATCGCTTTAAGAAACAAATGTTGCCTTTCCCTACAGATAAGCATCAATGCACAGACTCACGCATGTAACCTCTTAAAAAGGTTGTTACAGTGTTAGAAAATGAAACAAACCGAGGGTATATTTCCACGGAAGGTGTTCCGGGCTGTGTTGTGAGTGAAGCGGGTACACACCCACAAAGACAGGGAAACAGATCCAAGCCCAGCAAACGAGAAAATCCACCTCTTTGATCAGCGACACAGGGCAAATATGTCATCATGAAAACACATCTTAAAAAACTGTTTTATCAATGTCCCCCCCCTTTTTTTGTGTGTGTGCAGGAGCTTGATCCGTGCTGCAGTCAACCACATCCTCACTATAATCCCACTGACACCTGTTGGGAGATTTGCCTCCTTTGTGCAGCAGAAAAAGTGCGCAAAATGAAAAGAGAAGTGTGTTTAAAGTAGAGCTCGGAGCTCGCTGTGCCTGCAAAGGGAAGGAGGGGTGTTTCAGTCAGTGGTCCGCTCATTCGGGGGTCTTACCGGAGCTGATGGGGGTGTTTTTGGAGATGATGGTTGTTCAGCGGTCGCAGGTTTCCCCCTCCCTCTGTTCACCCAGGCGCAATATGGCGCTCATCCATCCCAACTGTGGCGCCGGGCCGATTCCTAGTTCCTGCTGTCGCAAGCCAGGGATCGGGGACCATTAGGGGACTCTAAGGGTGTGGGGGGGGGGTCCCCACGCAAAACCAAAGACAGTTTCTCGATTACTTCAGGGACTTTTCTTACGTTTCCCCCCCCCCACCTACACTGAGGTAGTTAAAACCACAACAATCAGAGTATTAGGTTTGAGGGTCGTTGGCATGGAAACGGAGAGACTTGCATCCCCATTAGAGGATGAGGTTCAGGGGCCCATGAAATCCAGATTTATGTGAACATACTGTACTGTACAGTGGTCTAATTAAAGGCTGGGACTAATCTCTGGTAATGAACTTGTTCTCTCTGCGCATCTGTCACTTTAATGATCATTAATGATGGGTTGATTGGTGGTTTCGACGTCATCATTTACTAAATGCAACAGTCCCAATTATATACTTTTACTATATAAAATAATTGGCTCATATTTAATCCAAACTCAAAAACTTGTAGCAAAAAAATCCTTTCAATTGTCTTATTTGTTATATTTTTATAGCTAGAAATTAATAACATTGCTGTAATCGATAAATTAAATGAATTGGAGTGCTATTATATCATTAATGTGTTTATCATTTTATTTTTTTAATGTATTTCCTGAGTTTCACAGATAATTAGTGGCAGACTATGACCTGACAGACACACACAGTACATATACAATAACACAAATAGGCCTGTGGGGGACGTACCATCTATATCTCCTCAGTAAAATCACACAGTATTATGTATGTCTATAAATCACACCTTTAAATCTAACATTAAAGTATTTCCTATCAGCAAACACTCAATTCTGTTTGCTGTTGTACTAAAAATAAAAGAAAAGCTTTTATTAGTGTAAGTCACTTTAACTGAGATAACCACATTAATGAGGATACAATTATTTGCGCAGTGACTTTTAATACAATCTGTGACTCTGGATCAGTTGATTTTAAAGCTCATCTATCAGCTGTGTGTCACCTGTCCCCCCCCTGATCACTGATGCAGCACAGCACAAAGTTTCCTGTCACTCTGTGGCTCTCAGGAGGGGGAAGTGCGCGTCATCTGCCCTGCTGTGAGGGAGGAGGCGTCACAGGGTGCGCCGACCAATGGGGTGCGGCGGATTAAAATAGAGCCGTATATATCGGAGGTTAGACCTACCTCGCACCATAATACGAAACCAAAGAGTGATGTGACAGCCCTGCACACCGCTTTGTGCTACTTAACCGGCTATAAGCCTTTGTCACCACTTACATCATCATCAAGAGCACTTTCTTCTAACTACAATAGAGTTTTAAGCCTTTTGAAAATAAGTTAATAATTAAATAAATGTCTTTGATGCATCAGGTGGTTGTTTGGAATTTGGATTTGCACACAACCGAACGCTTTTTTTTGTTTTGTTTTTTTGTTTTTGTCGGGGTGTAAATTTAGCAGAGCAATGCAAAACATTCTTGAATTTGCCTGTACGAGCACCTGAACGAACTGTTTGCAGACTGATGCCAGATGCAAATAGATAAAGTCACAGGAAGCCACTTTGAATGGTGCTCTAAATATCTGGAGTTCCTATAAACCCACCTAGTCTGGAACTGATATCTCATTCCTTGATTCATTCTTTTCAAGATAAAACCTTTCTGTTTTTTCTCTGGTGGGTGTTTTGAAAAACCTGGTAACTGGCAGGAAATGTCTTCTGATAAGTGGTAAAATGGACAAATACACTGCGTGCCTGAAAGAATAAAAGGTTGTTTTGACTGGTTATCACAAAAAAAGGAGGTAAACGATAAGAGTGGAATACATTTAACAAAAAACAGTAAAAGTTTGCGTGTTACAGATCTTCCACTGGCAGGGGAAAGGGAGCGTGACCATGTCTGGTTTTATGACTGGACCTTTGTGGGTTTACAGTAATGTATTCACAATGAAGCCCACAATATGTTGATGAGAGCTGTTTTCCAAGATCAAGAATGAGACCCCTTATATTGCTTCATTCACTGACTGCAGCCAATTCATACATCATATATAAATGTTTTTATATTTACCAGCTCTAGCAGGCCAGCTATTAGGACTCCTCCATATATTATATTTAAAAAACAAATAACAACTGCTTTAAACAACAGTTAAGGTCAATTTTCATAGTAAAGTTACAGAATCTCTTCACTATGTGCAAACACGTGGACAAAAATATATAATATAAAGCTGCCTTTTTAAGATTGGAACAAACACTGGTATTAGTGATGTTATCAATGGCAACACATTGTAGTTTGATCAGGGGGAAATAATCACTTTATTTTAGAGAGTACATTCATGACCTTGACTTTTCTCAGTGAACCATTATCACTCAGTCTCTCTATGTGTCCGGTGTAGCTGGCTGCAGCTCTTTGAACCCCTCCAGTCTCTTCTGGACCACATCGTGGATGATAGCTGAAAGAGAGGACGAAGTGTTTCAATCAGTGACATTAACGACCTCTGTAATGTTTAAATGGAACCACTAGATGGCACTCCAACAATGTCTATGACCTGATGACCCCTGGAGGAGGACTGGTGAAATACCTTTCAGCTGTGAGGGACGATAACATCAGCCTCTAGAACACCTCGATTGAACTTGAACAACTCAGATGAAGGTTATGTTTATTCTACTTTCAGGAATACTTTGTTTCATTAGATGGACGGCTTTTGGAATTTCTGACTATTTTTAGTTTTTATCCATGACTCTCACGAGGGCAGATGATAATGGATCTTCTCCCTGCTCCCTTTAGATCAAGTCCTGTGTATTATCTTGTGACAGACTGTGTACATGTTTGGACTAGCGGTGCACAGTGAACAGATAATAAAAAATAAATACTGGTGCTTAATGATGGAGTGTTTGTAGGTAGTGGCTAGTCTTTTGGATGCTAACAGGATTTGTGCACGACTTACAAAGAGCTGGTTTGTATATTAGAGTATGGCTCAGCTTAAGCAGAGGAACACCTTCTAAACAGTTAAGAAAAAAATAACACTGTATTCCCTTACTGTCCAGCAGCTCTCTCGCTGTGTATCTCTTATCCAAACTGTTGTTAACCTCAGTCATCAGCCATGGGAAGAAATTAGTCTCAATATCTGCAAATCAGAACCACAAATATGGTAAAAGGTTAAACACTAATTCATATCAATGTCCTCATTCATGACTAGTCTCAGATCCACTGTGGGCAGCGGAGTGCAGTGATGCCCTCGTGTGTCGGAAAAGGAGAAGGCAGAGTTTGTGTGGAAGTTGATGCCAGAGACCAAAGAAAGGCTGACCTTTCTCCACAGGGTCGTAAAAGTAGCCGTGGCTTCTCAGTGAGGTAAAGACCGCTGGGAGGAGGTCAGCCAAGTGCTGCTGAGTGTACGCCCGGGCAGCAATCTTCTCTGCAGTCTCTCTTTCTTTCCTCAGCACCTCCTTCTGCTGGGCAATTCTACGCTCCTGAGGTCAGAAGAAACATGTTCTTAATGTGAATGATCAAGTGTACTGATTTGATACGATAGTGAGTCACAGGAAATATCCTCTAGCACACAGAACAAGATGCTTTTTTTAGGAATGTGGCAAACGCATGAAGACAAAGCCAGTAGTTATATATGGACACGCTGTTTGAATGACCAGTGGTATCTAGGAAATGCAAAGCAAAAACACCACAGCAATAAGCACACAGCAACGCACACAGAGACAGAATGTTTAATGGATAGTTTCATAGATAACAGATTGTTCGTAGAAAGGCCAGTGGTAGTTAGATAGCCAGTGTTAAGGTCAATGCTCGAATCATCTGGTAATTGGGACTGAGCTTATGGTTTTAGCAGATTTCATTGACAACGGTGTCGCCCTGGCAATATAAACAAACAGCTTATCCACGGATAAGTCTGATCAGTCTACTAGATATGTGCCAACACATCCTCACATAATACATAAATACATATATCTCCAACAGTGTGGTCATGTAGTGTCACACTGCTTGCAGCAAGAAGCTAAAGAAATAGGTTTTTAGTAGCCTGCTTGCAGACGTCTAAATTGTTGGTCATATAGATACATCAACAAAATAAAATGATCCAAATATTTCTAAAAAGTGTACGTACTTTCTCCTCGCTGTGGCGTCTCTCCTGCTCCTGAAGCCGCCGCACCTCTGCCAGCTCGTTATTTCGGAGCTCTTCGAAGGCCCTCTGCTGAGCCCTCAGACAGGCCAGCTCCTCCTCCTCCATCACCTCCTCCAGAGACTGCTCTATTGTCTTACCCACCAGGACCTCCAACACTGGCTGCACCTCGCTGTCAAAGTCAAACAACTGCAGAGGATACTAGTAGTAAGTGGTGTTACATTGTGCATTTTAAAACATTTTAGGTTCAACAGGTTTATTTTTTATCAACCCTGCAAACATTGTACATGTTCTCTGTCCTTAAACACCTACATGATAATAATTATTTCAACGGGGCCTCCAGAAATGTAGTATTGCACTTGCATACAGTTGGGGGACAAGTAAACTCTCCCTTCCCGTGTCTTTTAAATTGACTCCACACCGCAAGTTTGTAACACAGGGTTTCTGTTATACTGTAAATCTGTATTCCCCAAGACAAAGCTGAGACAACCCTGATGGCTTAACTCAGGTTAGCAGCTCCTCCTGAGTGACATCAGACAACTATAAACGGGAGTTTATATGTAAAATCAGTGGAGTTTCCCCTTTAAAAATTGTTTAATAAATGTTATTAGAACTATGTTGGGGCTATTAAGAGTAAAAAGTGTGATCAGGCGTCCCATTTGAATCACCAACCTCTCCCTCCTCTATCTGGGTTTCAACATCTTTGCCAGATTTGGCAGGTATAAAGAGCGGGGTCGCTGGTTTGTCCAAGAAAGCATCAGTCTGGCAGTCGATATCTGTAGCCACGATAACATTACTCAGTTCTTCAAGATAAAGCTCTGAAAATAAAAGGTCATAGTATTAGTAACCCGCTTTGGTTTCCAGCAGCACATTTGACAAACTCATGATGAACTGAATGTACTACACCTGTTTGGACATCAATGTGTTTTCTGCCCTGCAGGGCCTCAGGAGTCATGGGTTTGAACTGCTCCCTGGCTCGCTTTCGAGCAATGGCTCTCCTCCTGGTCTCCTGTTGCCTTTGTATTTCAACAGGGTCTGGCTGAGCCGTCTGTCAACGATGGGCGGTAATACATATTTTTAATGTGTTGAAAGAAAGCTAGCAGCAAAAACATTATCAAGCATAGTAAAATGGGTACATACTGTTGGTATGATGTGTTGAGCGTAAGTGTTTCCTCTGACAACACGACGGTCATACATAATGTTTCCATAATTACTGTGTGTCCTACATTGTGAAGGAGAAACACAGTGCAGACATGCAGGCAGCTCATTACAGCTGACCTTAACACAAATTCTGCCCATGTTGTCCTGGTCTTGACAGTTGAATAGGGTGGAAAGTACTGACAATATTAACTTCAGTGAAAGTAGTGATACAAGTGTAAATAATCTTCGATTATAAATAAAAGTCCTTCATTCAGAATTGTTTTCAAATAAAAGTGGAGAAATCTTCAATGTTTCAGAAGTATAAGTAGTCATTGTACAGAATTTGGCCCTTCCCAGTAGTGTACTGGTGCATGAAGAACTCGGTATACTCTACTTTATTTATGCCCCAATTTTTATTTGAAGAAGCCTGTGCAGCAAAGGATAAATGCCCGACATTTTCACATTGTCACTTAACTTCTGCTGCTTGACTTTAGGGAGTAAGGATCCTAAAGTGCATAGTTTGCAATCAGTGCTGGCCCACAGACTATGGGTGAGACAACTAACTGTTACATCAAAATATGCATTTTAAGTGAACTATTCCTTATTCCTTACTCCATCTACTCATTGAAATTTGGACAACTATGTCCTGCCTTCTCCATCCTGGAAAAAAGAAATCCAGGTAGCAGAACACAACTGAATACTGCAAAATATAAAACATTTGCCTCATAATAAGTATAAAGTACTGTAAAAGTACAGAACAAGCGTCTATTTAATTTACTGTAGTATTTCATCAGCTGGATGATTTGAGATATCGTAATAATAATATTATGATGTATCTTAGCTACTAGGGTAGCTGCTGGAGCTAGCAGGTTTACACTGAGGTTAGCGCAGTAACATAACAAACGTAAGTTAACGTTACTGTTCAGACGGAGGTTCCCGGTATTTGGACCGGGTCTCCACAGGTCGGGGCCGGCTCGAGAAGGTGTAACTGCCGTTTGGGTCGCTCTGACTCTGTGAAACAAAAGCCATTCTCCACCAGAAACCACCAGAAACCACCAGACACGGTAGTTGTGACAGTTAGCTAACGGTAATGTTTGGTAGCAGCCGGGTTACTACAGCAACCAGAGAGAACGCAGCGGGCTGTTGTAGCAACCGTCTCCAGGAAGTGCAGTATGACGTCACTTTCTTTACGCTACCCGTCCCCTTCACAAAATCTACATTTTACAGTTTTAAATATAGTTTATTTTTTATTGTTTAGTGAAATCAAACAATGTATTAAATTACTCACATACAGTAAAAATACAAGTGATGTTTATTAACCTTGTGTAATTTATTTAATTAATGTATTAGTCTGTCTGTTCATGTATTGTTTGTTTGCAAATAAAGTTTAAAAAATATCCCAAAAATACCAGGCAGAGTTACTTTAAAAATGTAATCTGATACAGTTACTAATTACCTGTTTAAAAAAATGTAGTCAGTAAACTACCTAACGTACAAAAAACCACCAAATGTGCAAATAAATACAAGATAAAGAGGAATGTCAATAATGAGTATTGATGTAAGTGTATGGTAAAAGAAAACAGAACAAAGAAATATTGGAAAAGAAAATAGAAACCAAGATTTTTAGCATCAAACTGTTGTTGCTAATGGCTACTACTACTAATGCTTTCGCTGCAACTGTAGTAACTACTATTTATACCACTAATACTATTATTTACTATTTACTTAAAGACATAATCAGATTACAGTTACATTGAGTAAAAAAATGGATTATTTAACAGGATTACAATTTTGAAATATGTCATTCTTTATACATCATCATACCCAAATTTTCCTGGGTTGTTTTCAGAGAGTTGTGTAGTTTTTGTGAGACCCAGCTGCTGGTTTAGTGGTTTGCTCACCCACAGCGACGGTTGAGGTAAGTAGTAACTGTGTCAGATTACATTTTTAAAGTAACCCCCCAAACCCTGCTGCTATGCTACTCGCTACTATTACCTATTACTCCCACTTCGCCTACTACAACTAATACTACTGCCACCACCAATAGTAATATTTATAATAACAATATGTATCTATTTTAACTTAAATTCAAATTAAATCTCAACACTATAGGTAATTTAATATCTGTTCTCCAGCTTTCTATCATTAATCGTCCTCAGCAGATAACGTTTGCCCAGTTGTGGAAGCAGATGTTCAAATATCTATTTACGAAACGAACACTTAATGTACGTCTCATCCATGTTGGCTTAAGGATTGTTGACTTCCTGACCTGGAATTATTTGTACCGTCAAAAGCTAAATGGACCTTGTGGTGTGTGTTTTGTCAACAGTGGTTTCCAAGGTCAGGATCAATCTAAAACAATATATATATCATATAAACATACAGTAGAGTGTCACAACAGTGCTAAAGCTATTCAGACGTAGTGGCTTTTCTTGTTCTGCGCAACACATTTGAAGAAGAAGTTCTGAGTATTACCGGTTGACATACAAGGACCACTTCCTGTACAAAAAAAGTCAAAAGGTGACAAACAAAAGTCAGCCTTGCACTGCACTTCAAGCACTCGTGATTTATCATGAAGATATGAGACAAAAGACAAAACTGTCAACCTCGGTGAAGTGGGTGAATTTGGAGAGTTAGTTGGTATTTGTATATTTTCTACTGATGTTGTAGTGGTTCTTATATAGTTAGAAGTAACAAGATAATATATTCAGTGAGTTGCTGTTGAAGTTTGACATCTGTTGCTCACCTTGGCCCTTTTTTTTTTTTTTTTTTTTGCATACTTATGTACCATCAAAACAAAATTGTACACTTGAAAACAGATTTGTTTTGTTCGCAGGCGGCAGTGAAATGTGGGCGGCAGGAGGCATTTAGTAAAGGAAAGCAGAAACTCATTTCAAGATGATGTTAACCACAGAGAGCATTTTCAGCTCTACGAAAAAGTCAGAGAAAAATAGGGCACCAACATTTACACAAAACTGTATTTGTGAGGCCAAAGGTGAGAGCTCTGTGGTTAGAGAGGATGTCTGAACCATCACATCTGTGTTCCCATATCAGAGATTTCATGGCAAAGATGATTGTGACATAATTCCTGCATGTTTGATTTGTGATATAACAGGTCACACTAACCATTCATTATATAACATTTCCATGAAAACTATACTTTGTTCGCAAACACAAACAGCCGAATATAGCTGCGGCTGTAGGAGAGGACGTTGTTGAAGCTATGTCATGTGTTTTTGATCTTTTTTAAAAGGAATAATGAACGTCTATTCAGTTGAGTGGGGATGTTTCTGTGCCATAAAGGGCTGGGATTTGCTCTCGTCCCCGCATGTTTATTGTTTATGCTCCAGCTGTCACAAATCATTACTCATTATTAAAGGGTAGACTGTTCAGCTTGCCACTGTGTTAGCCTTCTCTCATTAGCGTTGACTGTCAGCCATGAGATTATGCAACCAGCAGGGCACACTTCCACGCATTCATCTTTTTTTTCAGTGCAGTAATGTACTCATCATCTATTTTTTATTTATTCATTAAGGTTTATTCCACACTTGTAGCCTTGATCCTCTTTTACAAACCCCCAAAGTTAATTACTATATTTATGACATCTTGAATTAAACACAGTGTAAGGGAGGAACAAGCACCCACTTTGTAGCCAAAAGCCTTCCTCGGCGTCTCGACATGACCACCTGCTGTTTTAAAAACAGTAGGTGGTCAATCAAGCAATTAGGAAACTAGCTGGTAATTAAATTAATAGGCATCCAAGTGGAAAGAGGAGCTGTTAGTGATACATTAACTTACATGTACAATAAGAAACTAACAGAGGTTGAAACAGAGACAACAGACCTTTCTCACAGCAGCCATTTTGACATGACAGGATAAACAGTTGTTACACTAAATGGAAACAATCCTTAATTAGTATGACTAGTAGCACCTGTGTTTACCCTACTATTTCATGTTAAAATGGCTGCTGTGGCATACAACACATGCAACATAATGACCTACTAATGTACAGCTTTAATGTGGCGGACAAAATAACAGGAACACAGTTTCATTAAAGCCAGTGCACTAGCTCGAAACACCTACCTTTGTAAAGCATATAATGCTCAGTTTATTGGTTTTTATAAACGGTATAACCTGTATTTAATCAGGTAAACCCACTGAGATCAAGAGTCCTGAGTGTAAGACTGTTATTATGTGACCAAAGTTCCATATTTATAACAACTCGTTGAGATTAAAATCTCTTTTCAATGGTGCTATAGGTCACAAAACTATCTCAATAACAACAAAGCATGCTCCATCCACCGAGGAAGTCCATGAGATGTGGTTGAAAGCTTCATAAGAAACAAATTGACCCTTCTCTAACATTTTTTGCGCCCTGTAGGATAATTATTATTAATTATTATTCCTCCTGACACCCATTTGCTTTGTCTAATACAGACTGCTGATCTTCAGAAAAGGGCATAATTTCCACGGGGGATGTGGGGGACACGTCCATGAAACCTCTTTGAATGTTGTTCTCTTATTATCCTGCTTCCATAATCCACAGGAGAAAAGACAGGAGATAATAAAAATGAAAGCAGAATCAACTGAGTAAAATTAGCTAAATGCTAATTAGAGCGTTTTAGTAAGCTGTCATTAGTATTTAGCTCAAAGCACCACTGAGCCTAAGTACAGCCACACAGAGCTACTAGCGTGGCTGCTTTGTCTTGTTCACCATTTCCTGATAGTTTAAAGACCAAAACAATTAACCAGTTAATCAAGAAAGTCATCATCAGATTAATCAATAAGGAAAATAATGGTTAATCGCCGTCAGAGTTAAAAGTTCTGATCCAGCTTTGGTTTAAAGGTAGATTTTGGATGGTGAATTAAAACTCTCTGGGCACTCTGGGTTACTTAAGCATTCATTAAGAGACATTCTGGAGCCTCATTATTCATCAAATAACAATAAACTGTTGTTGCCAGTGTTTTAGTTGAGGTTTGGAAATAACCTGCAACCCAACCACCAGGTTTGGGCAAAGGTCTTTCAACAGATGCCACACAGATCAATAACACATATGAGCTGATGACTCAAGTTCACTTGTTGAGGTAGATGACTCTTTGCAGCACTTGCAGAGATCAACATGTAGCAGTTTTAAAATGTCATCCTCAAAACAGACCTCAGTGAATGCTGCTGCCTTGATGTTGTTTTCATACTAATGATTAAAATCATGTGAGATCCCCAGTTTACACTTTAATTTAAAGTTTGCAAATATGATGCATGAGGTTTGAGACACGATAAAAGCACAATGTGTACAAGACAGTACAAAGTTTAACGCAAGACCCTTGCAACAAATAGTTAAGGTTATGAAGCTTGCAATGTTTGAATTAGCTGACACTGCATTAGATATGTGCTAATCAAGCTTTCTGGTTGTTGTTTTTTTTAAACTTGTGGTGGTGTTGTGTTCCATTATATTGTGAGATCTTAATGTTTTCTGCTCCCCCTGTACATACAAATAGAGAGTATAGAGTTTAACAAATGCTTCTTAATAGCCATTATATGCTTCACAACTGTAGCCAGGCCTATTGTAATTTGTGATGTATTAGTATGTTGCTTCCTTGTGTCTACCCTGTGTAACTTCTTATTTAAGATGAGCATTATCAGAGCTAAATCAGGCTAAGTTTAAATCTCGTTGCAACTTTTGGGTGAATTAAGGTTGTTAAGGAAGGAAACAATGTGTTTAAAAACTTTAGAGAGGAAGGAAGAGGTGGCATCAGCTCATCATGTAGTCACAGACAAGAGGAACAGCAATTCAGAGAAAAACCAAATCCGCCCATGTGACCATGTCTGGTTTCCTTCTGTTTTAGCATATGTGCCAGAACATGCTGTTCTCTCAATGAAGGCAGTTTGCTTCTGTTATGCAACACATTTAGCAACGAGAAGTTGAGCCAAGCCAGTCACTCTCTGATTTGACTAAGAGCAATTCAGGACCCCAGCATCCATTTGTAACGGGAGCTTTCTGAAATGTCTCGTAGAAACACAACAAATTTAATTTACTGTTATTTTCTTTTCTTTCATTTTCTCATGTGGTCACCTAAAGCCATTGATGGTGGAATTGCATGACTCTGGAAGACCCATTATGATATCTCACTTTATTTACATTCTAGCAAACAAATAAACAAATCATAGATCATCATCAGAAAAGTGCTTTAATGTAGTGAAGGAAAAAGGCCATGCAAGGTGAAGAGGATTTACAAAAAGCCAAAACAAACACTTTGTGCTCAACTTGCTATACTGTACATAGGTCAACAGAAACTGTCAAACAAAACATAGAAAACAAACAAATCATAGCATATTTTATCCACAGTTAACTGTGTTTTCATAGCTTCATTGTGATAGACTGGATATCTATCATGATAATGACATATTTTATAAATGCCGTACTCTAAATAGTACTACTGAGAAAGTGCCTCCATAGAGGCGGCACATAGCTGATACTCATTCAAAGTGAAACAGTGAACCGTGAACAGATTGAACTTTATGTACATATACAAGCATTTCTCTAACACAGAGCTGCTCGGTGGGCAGAGCCTTTAAAATACTGTAGTCTCTCTTTGCTTAACCAACGAAAGAACAGTGAAAAGGGAAGGAGTAGGAGAGGAAGTGGCTACCATAATGAAGCCAAGCTCTTTTGCTTTTAAAACATAAATTCCAGCCATATTAGATTCTCTAAGTTACAAAGAGCCTGGCTAAAGCTTGCTATGCTGCTTGAAAACTGGTCCTTTGGCTTTGCCCACTGATATTTAACTCTGATAAATGTTTGTATATCTAAAATCCCATCTGTGGAAAAGTTCCAAAGTCAATCAGACGTAAGACTCCTTGCTGTAAGAAAACTCCTCAAACACAGGCTGGCTACATCTCCGTGACACAACCTCGTGATGACCTGCAGACACAGACTCAGACATAGCTCTCTGGCGGAAAGACTGCGGCCGCTCGACAACGTTGTACTGATCGACAGCACAGGTAGGTGGGAAGTCATAGTTTACAGAGGATGGACGGGACCTTCTCTCCAGCTCTTTGGCATCGTGTACAGTCATTGATCGATACTGTGGAGGAGGACACACGTTCTGCACTGCATGCTCGTATGGCGGAGGCCTGCAGGGCAGCCTGCTGTCCACATGTTTAAACACTTCAATGGCCGACAGAGGGCGCGGTTTCTGTAGAAGCTCGGCTGGTGGATCTGCTTCACTCTGAGAGTCCTCCTGGAGAGTTTCACAAGGAAAGGAGTTTTCCTTCTGAGAGTCTTTCTTCAGGCTGCTCCTGCTGAAAGTTACTAAGCTCCTGGTCCTCATTAGGACTTTACTGCCAACCCTCATAGACTGTGAACGCCTCTTCTCATCTGAAATCGGTTTGGCAATGTCCTGGTGAACCTTTGCAACTCCTGAAGGCTGGTTGGTGGTGTTTGCTCTCCTGGGGCAGGTTGGCGACCCCACAGGGGAACTGGCGAAAACAGACCCTTCCGACTGATTAGAGGCAGCGCTCTCGAGGGAAGAGCATGAGCAGTCCTTGCCTGTCATGTAAGGTAGCGGATCCATGTTGGAGCTGCTGATCAGTTTTGGAAAAGACAAAACCGGCCTCACTCCTCTGAGCAAGAAGGAGTCATCTGAGATCTGCTTCTTCAGAGGCTGCTCCTCAAAGTCCCTCCTCTCCATCGAGCAGTCTTCGTTGCTCCTGGCGTGGTTGCACAGGGTCTTGAGATGAGGTGAGAGGTGGATGATGGGCTCAGAGCAGCGACGGTTGAATGTTGGCTGCGACCTGAAGGATTCGGTGAAGCTGGGACTGAGGGAGGAAGATGAGTCACTCTCTCCATGTGTGGAGCTGGCACTCTCGCCCGCCTCTCCATCTCCATCTGGGTCGGTGCTGTCATACGCAGAGTCATGATGCTGAGAGGACAGTGAGTCTGCAGAGTGGGAAAAGACATGATTAGGATCTCTACATTTTACACTACTCAATACTGCAAATATGAATCAAATTTAGCTTGTAATTTAAAATGAATGGAGGAGGAGGTGGGGTCAGAAATGGGGAGGGTTGTGTATTAATTTATTTGTTCATTCATTTCTTTTTAGGAGAGCAAGGAATGTTAATGCCAAAAAAAAATTTTTATTTCATCCATTTCTTGCAGGACTTAAGGTAAATAAAAATGGAATAGATAGATCAAAATATCAAAAATATGCCTTTTCTGGGTGTCATGGATCAAAAAAAATGTTTTACCATGTGCAAGTTGGAAGTCAAACATAAGGCTCAGCCCCCTTAATACAAATACAGTCCCTAAACAAAGATAGTAAGATTTGAGATGATGTGTAAATGTACCTTCATCAGTATCCAGCAGATTTGGGATATTGTCTCCAAGGATCTCACAATGCTCAATCATGAACTGAGTTAGCTCTGTGACCTACAGCAAATTAGAAAAAGAAACATGATAAGAAAAATTATTCATTTTCAAAACCAAAGTTAGATTAGATAAAGAATTCTGAAAATCAAAGCTGGTGGATAAAATCCAGATACCGTACAATGCCTCATTTGGTCAAGCTAGTGTTTTTTTTTTGTTAGCATTTAACCAAACAAATGTCTAACAAGTCTTTGGTAACTTTAGCAACTTAAGTTATGAAACCTTTTGAGGTTTTCTGCACTGTGAACCGCAAAGCTTCAAAGCACCAAAAGTGAGAAAGTATATTCATAACGAGACTTTCTACCTTTTCAATCCTTTCCTTCTGCTCATCCAGCGGGGTGTCGTTCGCCTGCAGCAGCGTGGGGGCGATACACACCGCCAGGTTGTGGGCGTCCATCTTGTTGGTGTCAGCACTCTCGAGGATGTGATGGAGGACGCAGACTAGATGCTGCAGGAGGAGTTTGTTGGCCCCGGGAAGCGTGTCTACCACCCTGTCAGTGGGTAGCAAAAGGGAGAAAGAAGAAGAAAAAAGAGAACAGGAAGAAGACATTAGCTTGGCGCTCTTTTTTTTATTCAAAGTTTCTTCCCTTTTTTTAAACAGACTGAAAAAGAGAAGTGGTTTGTGTTCAGCCTACAGGCATTGGGAATGCTTTGCAACATCCACTCAAAATACCCTTTTCTTCATATAAATGTCATATATAAATAGAAGCTGATTGTCACAGTTGCATGTGCATGGAACTGCCTAAGCTCATAAGCTGGTATTGATTGCTTACTTTCTGATTTCCAGAGCTCTCTGTTGGGCGTCTTCATTGTCCAGAGCCGTCATCCAGTTGTCATAAAGTTCAGACACCAGCAGGCTGCCAGGAAGTTCCTTCAGAAAACTCTGCAACAAACAAGAGAGGGACTGGATGAGACACAGTACTTATAAATTCAAACGATCTGCTGTGACATGGTGTGAGGACAAAAATATCTTACAGGTATCAAAGAGGAACCTCATATTGTAGATGAATTAAATATTATTATATAGTAAGAGTGTATAGTGCTGTTATTAAGTACAAGTTTGAGTTATTTTAAACTAATATTTCCATTTTATGCTGCAAATTCTGTACTTTTTACTCCATTACAATGATATGACAGCTTTAACTGCTAGTTACTTTGCACATTTCACAAATGCAATGTTTGCATAATGACTAATATTGCTTTTGGTACTTTAAGTATACTGTACTGTGGTAGAGCAGCAGATGCTACAGTAGTAGAGTACAATGGCAGTAGTATAGCTGTGGTTGTGGTAGTAGTGGTAATGGTAACGTTTGAGCATCAGTTGTTATAGAAGTTTAATTCAATTCAATTAAAACCTTTATTTAAGTCTTCAGGATCATTTACAGTGATGTGAAGAAATGCAGAGTTAAAACAAATCATAATAACATAAAAATGTAGATGTAGAAATGCTAATGGTGCACCAAGTACCATAGAAGTGGTGCTTTATACATAATAAATATGGGAACGTACTTTGAGCAGCCCGACGAGCAGAAGGACCGGCTGACCCTCCAGGTCCACCTCCAGGCCGCTGTTGAGCTGCTCCCTGATGTCCCTCATGTTCTTGCTGTTGCACGGCTTCCGAAACACTCCCTCTGTGGACGGACCCTTCTTCCTTAGCAACACCAGCATCTCCTGGGGAAAGGACGGGGAGCAGAGGAGAGGTGAGGTTACATAGTAAAAAAAAACACCATCAAGCTGTTGAGTGATTTTTCAGCAGATAATAATAAACACGCAGCTCATGTGCTCACATGGTTTCCTGTCCTCATTAATACATTCTTAGAACTGCTGTCAAAGGTCAGCTCAGTAGGTGTTTATTCATTATTTGTGCTAGAATTAGATCTATTATAACAAGCTGTCTTTTATTACTCTTTAAAAAAAAAACAAAAAAAAACTTTAGGAACAAATAAATGAAACCAGATAGAAAAGAATAAAAAAGACAATTTATTCTGCTCATAAGTAGTTCAGTTCTTGTCAAAAAAAAACCCGGCTGGCAGGTGGAAGTGATGAGAGATCTGACATTTAAGATAGAAAGTCAACTTACTGCAACTGGTTTGGGGAGTGAGCAATCATCTGGGCATATCTTGCAGAGGGACTGTCCAAACAGCTGTGTCTTGGTGTCGGTATCCGATCGGCGTGCTTTGATGAAACTAGAGCCTTTTCTGAGCCTCCTCACCAGGCCCCACCTGGTTTCTGATGGAAGCAAATGAAATGTTTTATCCATCAGCTTACTCAAAATGTTATATCATATTTACAGATCTAAGCATGTATCTAATATGTCTATTCGTAGAAAATTAGAATTAGTGCAACAGAGCACAAACAAAAACCAGATGTGCAAGAGGAGTGCCAATGTGTAAAAACCTGTTTTCCTCACTTGCTCACCCTTATCAGTCACTTCCTTTTTCTGCCTCTGTGGTTGTTTTTTTTTTTTTTTTGGTCTCATTTCTCTACACATGGCACAAACTAATGAGCCCCTCCCAAAAAAAAACCTGCCATTTTCAAACTCACCATTGGGCTGCTTGTCATCTTGGTTATTCAAGTGCTTTGCTGGAGCAGCAATCTTTACATCGCCCTGGCAACAAAATAAAGAAAAGTGATATATTGATGAGTATGCAAGAGGAACAGGAGCATGCAACAGGAACAAAGGGCGGGTTTGTGTTTTCTCAGTTGCCCGGGACCACAACCCCCTCGCCCTTCATGCCTACTAACACGTGAATCAGTTAGAGTGAGAGTAATAATACTACAGTAGAATCAATCAGATCTTTTATTATTTATCAGCATCATATCAAGTATCAACATCTTTTTCATTTACTTTTAAACTGTGATTCACAACTGTATTGTTTTAGCAGCTACAGTATATGCATTTCAAACGCTGTGTATATCGGCAAATCTGTCTAATCAGACATCCTTTCAGCATGAGTAGGAAGGCGCAGGTGTCTTTCACAAACAGCTGTTTCGCTTGAATGTCTTTAATCTCAAGAAGGCAGTGAAAATGGGGATTTTACTTACATCAAGTGGAAACTCAATGAATTGTTCCATGCCACCTCCTGTTAGAGTTTTAGTCTGAAAGATGGTGAACAAAGAGACATCATTTAGTAAAAGCATTGTTTATATATATATATATATATATATATATATATATATATATTTGGTTTCTATTGGACATGCCAGAGTGGGCAGTAAGAGAGACTTACTGTGATGCTGCCACTCAACACCTTCATGAGGACGTCTGGAGGTGAAGAAGCACAACCAACCCTCGCTTTTGCGTCTTTAATTTTTCTGTGATGTGAAAAAGATACATATAACGCATTTACTCATAAATATACTCTTTGCACCCTCTGTCTTAGTATTCAAATTCAAGTTTTTGTGTATCAACCTAACAGTGGATCAATATAATGCAATGACGCCCATTTTTAGAGTGAGACAGTTAACACGGCTCTCCATTATTTAAAGATCTTATCCTGCTGTTATGCACACCACGTTATCTTAAACATTCATTATTAAAGCATATTTTTTCTAAATTCAACTGAAACTGATATCTATTGAAGCTGATAATTATGTACTCCACGCGGCACGATATCATCAACAGTGATCATATACAGTGCAGTGCTGTCAAACTCTTATCAACTATGAAACTTGAAAGGATATTTATGGCCATTTATTGATAACATGTACATGATTAAATGCTTAATCTGAGAATAATGTTTCTTACCTGTGAAGTGTATCTAACCAGCGTTCTTTCACCTCAGGCGAGCTGTGGGCAAAATAACAGCATGGTACGAGTTACTAATCCACAGAGAGAATCAAACAGGCCAAGCAGAAACAGTAGGCGGTCTGAGCCAAAGTGCGCAGCGACAGCCTCTTTTATGAACTCTGCTGGAAACTAACTCAGTCATGGGAACAGGAAGCAACGTCACGGCGGCCCCCAGCCAGACACCTTCCACTTCCTTATAGACTAGGTTTGCTGTGGTTTTGTGTCCATCAGTGGAAAGATGACGACGAAATAGATACGTGTGCCTACATTTGCACCTGCAGGGCTTCATCTCTTGTTAACCTGTGATACGCCATAGCCTCATTAACGCCAGGCAGCTTGTATGTGGCCATAGGTGTCAACAAGTGAGCACATGGTTTCTCGTAGGCTCCATGATCACCTCCATGTGAGTGAGAAGGAATGAAACTTTCACACACTGAATCATTACCAGAGCCAAATCAGTCCAATCAGAAATCTCATTTTCAAACAAAACAACTCAAAACCCACCCGGGGATTCATCATCTTGGAAGACAATAGCGAGTCAAAAACTGCTTTATGGTTTAATTAATTGTTTTGCGAGAAACGTGGGAGTCAATGAATAACACAAATGACTGTATTTCTCAACTGGTGCCATTTAGTGCCTTTGAAGAGGTGATCATGCTACTTACTGAGAGCAATGCCATTCCTTTTAGTCCATTACATTGCCTAGAAAAAGTATGAGACAGCGTTTCTCCTGTGCTTCATCTTTATTGTAACAGCCAGTATTTGCAGATAAAGCTGATGTTAATCCCCTGACATGGAGATTGGTTAACTGGCCAGCTCCGTGCTTCCTATTTTGCAATCCCTTGTGATGCTGCAGGCAGGACTTTCTCTTTGCTACTTCTCTTTTTTTCATAAAGGTCACAAATCATATGACCATTTACTACATGTGTGAACCATTCTGCGAACAGCCACAGATTTCAATAATCAAATGACAAAAAAGACGGTCAAACAGAAAGCATGTGTTTGTGTGTTTGTGTGAAAACCAGTTTGACCTCAAGACCTTATTAGCACTTATTAGCTTTCTTGCCAAGAGTTTGACGATCAATCAACAGCCAGTTCACATAGCACATAGACTGAAAAGGGAGAAACAGTCTGGCTTTGACCGAAGGAAACAAAATCTTCACCAGCAGCTGTACAGCTTACTCACACAAAATCTCGTTTGTTTAGTCTGTACAACATACTGACAGTAAGTGGCTGTGAATTTTACAGTCACTTCTACATCAACAGACTAAAAAAAGACTGCACACTGATCCGTGTTCTCGGTTTTTGTTTGTTGACAAGACGTGAAACCTAAGTCAACTGAACAGTACGCAGATCCCTTTGTTGAGTCTGTTCCTATAACATGTAGGTGCGTAGCTAAAGCTAGCAAACAAACAACATCAGGCTAATGTAAAAAAACAAACAAACAAACAAATAAATCACCCTGCAGACTTTTCTACCATATCAGTGCTTCATTTGTGGGCAAGCCCATAGTCAAAAGCTGTTTTTATATCCAGGCACCATCCACGTATTTGCCTGTTTTATTTTTGCCAACGTGTGTGTTGCAGAAAGTGTGGCACTTTATTTTGGTGCCCATGTAAACAAATTAGAACCACACTGCCCGCCTGAGTCACGTCTGCTTCACTAGAGAGTCAAGGTCTCACCTAGTCCTTCTGTGTGCCCCGGTCAAGGGGGTCTGTTCATAGTCATATTGACATTATACCATCAACATGTGCACCTTTCACTACAGTCACAGACATAGAAAAACTCAACACCTCCTGTATCTGTTTGAGATTAAAAGCTCTCTGGTGTTTCTGTTCACAAAATCAATTCACACGTTAACAATGTGTTGTATTTATCAAGGGCAAACTCAGTATAGATAGACAGGGCTGGAAGCAGCAGTAAACGCTCTCTGTGTGGTCACCAAAGGCGTGCGAGCTGCAGCAGTTCAGTGAGACACGCCGCTCAGGCACTGTGGACGAACCATTAGCTGGGACTTCCAAGATGGAAACGGATTATGCCTGTGCTATATTTAATAGGTGGGATTATCCGTCTATTTTCAAACACTGGTATGAAAATGATAACAGCCTTGCAGGTGGTGCAGCTCTGTTGTCACATTCTAGTCTTGCTGCATTTTATAAGAAACATTTTCTTTGCCATATCACGCAGCCCTACTGATAAACCATTTTATCAAAAATATAAACCCATTCCTGGGAGATAAAATCTCCTCTTTAGATCTTCAAGCAATTAAGGATTCCAGTTAAGAGCAGGATTAGGATGAAAGAGGAAAGATAACAATCAACCAGAGATCCTCATAGCCACATAATGAACGTGCTTGAGCGTGTCTATTCTGGCTTGCAAGCATAGCATGAATCAAAACACTTAACATGTTGTTTGTATCTGAGTCATTATCACACGTGTGAGTCATGTGTGTCCACTTACCGAAAACACACCAAACAAAAGGTGAGGGCCCAGGCCAAGACGAGGGTCACCCTGAGGTCAATATCACCCATCGATCCCTCCTCATCCTCAGATTCATCTTCAAAACCATAAAGCCAGATGTCCTCGAGGCTCACTCGGTGCTTCAGACGGTAGCTGGAATTCGACCTGTTGAAACAGAAGCAGAAAGAAAGTTAATAACCATATAAATAGTTTTCCATTTCAAACGGTACTTTTTTCAAGTTTGAAAAGCAGGTTTCAGTTCCATTTTTTTTATTGATTCCCTGTATGCTGTCTTCCCTATTTCTGAAAAAGCTGGATCTGAAGATAGAAATAAGAGGTGTAAATTAATGTAAGAGCTTGTTTTAAAACAATGTACAAACTTGAAAGGAAAATTGATTTCTGTACATAAGAACACAGCGAGGAACAATAGTCTGTGCTGCAACTGTGGAGAGAAAAGGATAAAGAGACAAAAATTGCTCTTTGATACTTTCGGCGGGCATTTCTTCAGGGCAGGGCAACACTATTCGCACTAAAAAGGTGTTCATTTTAACAGCTCTTCAATGTGTGAAAAGACTTAACAGTTGGACTTGTTTTTTACACCACAGGAATAATAAACTGAAGCCTGCTCTCAAGGTGACTAAACCCCTTCATAGACAACTCCATTGCGGTCGCCATTGAGAGAATTAATAGCTTTTGTAAATGGTTTCAAAAATAGTTTCCAAAAATGGTGACTAGTAAATGATGAGAGTGAAATCATTCTTTTCCCACTGCACCTCCATACAGCCACAACACTTCAGTTGTTTAACCGGCATTTGATTGTGACCCAGCTGACCGCTGCGTGTTTGCAGCAGAGGCCTGCTGACTGGATCCTGGAGTGCTTATAGATTGGTGGAGCATGGAGGGAAAGGAAGAGTCAGGAAGAGTCAGAAAGAGTTATCTTTTGGGATTCAAGAGGTGGTATGGTATAGACATAGAGAGAGGGAAGTGACACGCAACTGACCAGAGGTCATATATAGAAAGGCTGTGAGAAATAATCTACGGATTAACACCCTGGGGTCGTCATGGGGGAAAAGCAATTGAGGGCTTCCATTGACCCAAAGTTACGTTATATACACAGTCACCTCCAAGAGCCTCCATTTACACAGCAGAGTAAGAAAGGCTTTGTTATATCTTCCCAGCTTTCAACCAATGCTAGAATACTTCCAGGCCTTAAGTTTGTTACATAAGTCAACGTCTATGAGGTAATTAAACATAAAGTTATTTAGGAATACTGTCAGTTTACCATCAACACCAGCATAATGTCTAAGATAATGTCTAAGTAAAAGTATTTCTTTTTATACAAGGCAATTCTACAAGAAAAGGACACAAGCTTAGGTAATAATCACCACCTTGAAAGAATACTTCATACAACATTTTGGAAACTTGGACTTGGAGAAAGGACCGCTGGCTTCCAGAAAAGCTGACGCTAAACCGCCTCGCTGGCTGCTAAAGAAATGCTGAGGTTGGGTTTCAGAAGAGGTTGGAAATGTGGGAGACTAATCTGCATTGTTGGCATAAAGTGTCATGGAGCAGATGAAGTTGTGAGAAAGAGATAAATGATGAGATACCAGTCCATTCCAGGAAGTTGCTACAACAATTAACGCAAACTGAACGTGAATCCTGAGAGTCTTTACGCTAAGCTGACTGGCAGCTGGCTGTAGCTATTTCCTAAAAGGTTGAACTTTTCTTTAAAGGCAGTCATAATATTTGGTATTTGTGGTGTTTGTTCTCAAGCTGATTTGGACAGAAAATGGGTTTTTTAAGGCCCCTGGAGGTCTGGTTTGTAATCTAGACTTGGAAAAAGTACATAATATAACATCAAGACTATTTTTTCAGACTTCAGAAAGCTCCGTCGAGAGCCGCAGAAACAACAAAGCTGATTTCAAGTAGCTACTATCTCTGACTGATGATGAATTGAGCTTGATGAGTAAAATCGGCTGAATAGTACCACAAACAATCATCTTTAGAAGTCATGAATGCTCATACTGTGACGCTCCAAAGTCTATTTATGTTATTGTACTGTAGTTCCAGCTGTGCATACCTACTGGAACAGTGGGCAGGTTGTGGTTCAGAGATGAGTGTGATTGTCCTCCCACTCAAGAGCTACAAAACTTCCACCGGCTTTGACAAACAGCTCTAATGTGACTAAGTAGAGCCTCCAGTAAATACAGCAATTTACAAGTTGTTTACATCAGTTTTCTCTGTTTAATTATAAATGTGGAAAAGCAAGAGTGTCCCACAGGAACAAATAAAAGGGAGATTTTCACTAATAATAACAAAAAGACAAAGAAATAATTGGATGAATTTGATTTTAGATGTAAGATACAGTCACTTGTGAGACTAATGAACGAGCATTCAGAAGTGAAAGTACGTCCCTGACATGTAGTTAAAGACAACAACCAAACTTCAGCTGAAGATGTGTTGAAATTACTTTTAGAGAAATTTGTTCATTGTTGAGTTTTCTCCTCATGTGACTCCTCTGAAAGGGAACCACCAAGCTTTTTTTCTTCCAGTCAGAATGACTAGAGACAAACAGTTGTGAGTTTGGAGATTCCCCAACAGTCCAAGTAAGCGGTCCAAAAACACGTTTTGCTCTTACTTCCTCTTTCACTTATTACAACTTGACACATTTGTTTTCAGCTGAAAGGCACTGAAATACCATTCCTGCTGTATTTCCTGTGTTTGTTTTTTTTATTGTATGACAGTTGATTCAGTAATTCCCCAGTGGTCTTTTTCGTTTTTTTTTTTGCTCATTAGATTATCTTTACACTTAATAAAAAAAACTCTGGGGCCATGCTGTGTATTAATATCTACACTTCTTACTTGAGTTTAGCGAAGACAATGACATCGCTGAAGAGGAACAGGTGCCTGTCCTTGGTCTTTGAGCCCTCGGTGACCTGAACACACTCGTCCAGCAGCAGCTCTCCGTTCTCACTGGTGAGGCCGAGGACGAACGGACTCTGCTCCACGGAGACCCAGCAGGAAGCCTCCTCCCTGAGCGGGAGGACAACACAGAAAGAGGTGAGTGTCTAATTTTGGTATTTATGTTTCTTAAAGTGAAGGATTAAATGCTTTTTAACAGGTTTTCAACATTTTATAACCTCTTAGGGCCATAAAACGTTGTAAGAAACCACTGGATTGTTTTATTTATGCATTGTGACCAATAGTTACAAAAAAATTACAGTATATGGCTTTTAATGGAAACCAGTGATTCACAACATCCTAAAAGACTTGATTAACAAGTAGGATAAAGACCACAAAATGTTGGGGAAATGTTGTTGTTGTTATTTTTTCTTTCTTGACGAGAATTAAGTAAGGAATTGATACCACTCATATCTCTGAATGGTATAAGTGGTAAATATGAACCTGGAGCCAAACCTGTTTGACTCATTAGCTTAGGTTTGTATAAAGACCTTATATTATATATTATATACTGTCAATGATACAGACTGAGGGAGGGGAAAACAGCTAACCTGGCTCTTGTTGCACTCATTTTTACACCCTGTATGAATTAAACAAACTAGATATAATATGTTAATTAGTGAGATTTAGACACTCTGGTAGCTGATTTTTTTGTTTTTTAATGTTTCAGACTTCATGCTAAACTAAGTTAACAAGCACCAAGAGTAGAAAGAAGTTGTAGTTTTACAGTGGTTATGTGCCTTACCACTGGTGCTGGAGGGACAACAAGACTTTCAGTGTATTTCAGTGGCTCAGATTTAAAGCAAAGTATAATTTTAAATTAGAAGACCTAAGGCACCCATCGGTACCAACCATGTATTAGCTTGTTATGAAGGGGGCTAAATAACACTCCAAAGTTTAAATTAAGTTAAATTCTGGGGATGGAAAAACTGTCATGGCTATTTTCAAAGGGGTCCCTTGATCTCTGACCTCAAAATATTTAAATGAGAATGGGTACAATGGGTAGTCCTCCCTTTACTAACACATCCAGTTTACACTAATCTCATGCAGTTTTGGGCAAAAACCATGAAGTAAAAGCAGCATTGGAATTATTACATTGAGTGTGAATGGAAAGCTGAGACTCTTGTGCATTCAATGACCCCAACTGTATTAATGTGTGATGTTGTTCACACATAAAGACACACTAACTATACTGACACCGCCGATTGCCTACCATATTTTAAGTTCACTAGTACATCATCAAAACCGTCACCCCACTTTGAAACTCACACGAGCACCACTGCCCCTCAACCTAACCCTTGCTAAGCTATCGTTAACCATCTCCTGACTGCTTATTCTACAGAAATGAGAGTGGCAAAGATCTTCTCAGCTATCTCTGAGCAAGAAAGTGTACTTTATAAAATATCTAACTGTTCCTTTAAGGTACTGTATCTTTTGTCTAAACATTAGCAGCACAAAGGAAGTGGCTGAAAAAGCTGCCTGTCACAGCTGACACGTGACGTATGAGGGGGAGCTTTGTGGTGTAGTTTCACACCAGCTGTTTTTTACATGAATATTAACTATTACCTGAGAGGACTTTTTCATTCTATACATAGGCTATTTAACAGTATGGTAACATGTTGCATAAGAGTGCGTTATATATGCAGATATTTAAGAGCTGAATTAGTATTCGTGAAACGGCCTCAGAGCTTCCATAAAGTATTCATCCCAGCTTTAAGTGTCACCAAATTTGTCACTTTGCCATTATTCCAAGATATTTTGTTCTTAATTTCAACATCACACAAAAAAAGAGAGATTATAACTAATTTGAATTCAAAGCAACAATATCATGAGAGCTGAAAATTCACTGAACTGATTAGTGATTCCTTGTAACGTCTTTAATGCTAGGAGTCTATAATTTACGAAGTGTAAAACTCAGATTGTCTCATTGGAATAAACGTTCAAAATTCAAACAGTAAAACTGACTCAGTATTTAACAAAGATTAGACATAAGAATTCATATTTGTGTAGATAAAGATGGTTGTGTTTCTTCTTTCTTTCCCATTCAATCATCTCATGAACGCATTAGTTTTATTTTACAATCTGTTGGTCACCGGTCAATGCTTTAATCAATCACCAGTGCTTTCAAAGGGTAAACATATTAAGTTTCACACAATGATGTTGTTGTTTTTTAGACGTTTCTATCCTATTTCTTTGAAAAATACTGAAAATTGTAGCTCTTAGGAGCCTCTAGAAATATCTGAATCAAACAGGCATATTATTAATAGCTCTGTACTACCGTGGCAACAGGTCACAAGTACATATTGCTGTGTATTAAGAGTCAAAAAGGTTGTCATCTAGCCTGCTGGTTGTTTAATAATTAGTGTCCTGGTAGTGAAAACATTACTGAATGAAATCAGTACAAACAAACAGCTCTTAAACGAGCATCTGTGCTGTTGATGGAGTGAAACTGGAAACATCAGCAGTGATACTCAAGAGTCAGAAGTTGTTGCTGTTGTGCTTTTAATGGCTGACGGATCATATAAGATTAATGAAGAGTGACCTGAAGAAACCCACCGTTTGTTTTGTAAAATAAATATGATCTGATCCCACTGAGAGCGCGGAATCGTGTTTTAATTTGAAGGATACGTGTGCGAAGGGATTACCCTGACAGATCAATATCATATCAATAACCCGCTATCATTTCATTATATATCACAGAGGAGCAGTACACTGCTTTGTTTTAAGAGTCAGAAAGGTTGGGGACCACTAGGGCTGTCAGCAAATATTCTAAATTTGGATATATATTAATTATTATAGATAATATTATTATTATCATATAATTAGTGTGGACAGTGGTGGCCTATTGGTTAGAAAGGTTCAATTTGGTTCAATCCCTGGACTGGCAGGATAGATAATGGGTGGGGAAAGTGAAGCAGCTCCCTTATTACCAACACTGAGGCAACATAAGCAAGGCACCTAACACCTGACCGCTCCAGTGGAGCTGCTCAGACTGTGGTTATATTGAGCAGCTTCCTGGAGCTGCGAGGATGTGATCAGGACGTTCATGCAAAAGAGAGGCTTCCTCTCAGTGTCCCCTGAATAAATAAAGGTTTAAAAACCAATAATAATCTAAACAATTCGAGAAAAAAGCAGCACTGTCTGTTTCACGAGTTCTTGTGTGGGCTGGGCCGCTGCACTGAATGCCCTGTATGACGGACAGCAGTCACACAACGTCACTTTCAAGTGATTGAAAATGAAATGTAGGTCAATCTCAAACAAGCAAATATTCAACCGTGTGGTAATGATGGCAGAAAGTTCATGGCCCAACTCGACGTCAGAGGAAGCGATTTGCTCTCCAAGAAGCAAGACTTCTGCCAAATGTAATTACATGTAATAAATTATTAAATAAAATGTAACTGGGTTGTTCTAGAGCAGCAAACATACACCCTTCCAGCAGCACTCAACCGACAATGTTGTTATGTTATGTATTGACATAATGCGCATAAAAGATAATCAAAACCTATGTGATGTATTTTAGAATGAATAATAATAGTAGTCAGTCAGAGTTAGTGACTCAGAGAAAGTCTTTATAATGATGTTAATGCTAAAGGCACAATAGTCATGATTTTTGCATTCATTGCAATGATAATTTATAGTCTATTTAATAGTTATTAACATTTTATAACTTTTTAGTAGATACAACTAAAAAAAAAACAATGCAAAACCTCTTCTCAGTAAAAAAAAAGGTCAAAGTCATTGTAAGTTTTAATATACACAGCACTTATGAACGGACAACCTTTTTGTGTTCATCGTCGTTTCCATGGACGCAGTGAATAAACAAGACTACACAGACTGGATTTGTTTAAGCTACAGTACCGACATACAAACTTCCGGCAAATATTTGGCAACATGATAGTGTACATATTCAGAAAGGAATATACATTTGAACAGTTGGATTTTAAAAACATTTATTTACATAATACACATTTAGCTCTTTGTATTGGATGTTAAATATAGTCTGAAGAAACTCAAGAGAAGTGAAAAGTTTGGAATTTTGGAACGTAGAATATGTAGGAACCCTGACTTTCAGCTTGCTGGTTGTTTGGTAAAGTGTCCTAATGGTGAGAACATTATAAGCTACACTGCATCAAATCAGTGCAGACAAAGCCCTCAAATCTGCATCTACATCTGCATCTGCATCTGCGCTGTTTGCAACTCTGTTTGTTTCATCATCCTGCAGGTGTGAAAGTGGAAACACGAGCAATGATACTGTGCAAGAACTCAAAAGCCAGATGCTGTTGCTGTTGTGCTTTTAATGGCTGAATGACAGCAGCAAATTCATGAAGAGCAACCTGAAGAAACCCAGCGTTTGTTTGGTAAAACAAACATTATCTGATCCCACTGAGAGCGCGGAATCACATTTTAATTTGAAGAAAAATGTCAGAGCTGTCATCAGCTGCCCTAATGGATCAATATCAAGTCAATAACCCGGTATGATTTCATTTTAGGCATCACAGATGAGCACACGAGTATCGACTAACTTAAGCTTGTTTATTTGTTCAGCTGAAGTGAATAGGGAAGAAGTTCTTCCTGGAATTAAGTTTTGAACTGTGACTTTAAACAGTGGCTTTAGCTGCAGTTCTAGGTTTTTGTTGGGGGGATTACTTCTCATCTCACTTGATATTTAATAATAATCATAAAATAATCTCTAATAAAACAACTGACAATCAAGGTGTACACAAGAAGTAAGAGTTGTTTGTTCTAAATCATAATGAAACCAATTTTGGTCATCGCTCTTCCCACTGACTCTGAGTTCAGGGGCAGAAATTCAAATCATTGCAGCCGAGGTACTTTCCCTGTTACCCTTCTGGCCTACTAAAGATGACACATAAAATACTGGCAAATAAAACAGTGGGAGAACTATAACCTCCGCAACAGGTGATTATGTGTGAACGCAAACAACAGAACAACAGAAAACAATAATTAAAGTAGTTATGAGAGCTCATAAAGGCGAACCACAGCTACCTAACTGCTGTTACACGTTAAAGTAATGGTTCAACATATTGGAAAATACACTCATTCACTTTATTGTCAAATGTTAGATGAGAAGATCAATAGCTTTCCACTCGTGTATTTTTCCATCAGCAACAAGCTAGATGGTTAACGTTACCTTACCAGCTAGCCCCGCTCTGTTCAGAGCATTGACAGTCAATATATGTTAATGGTTTGTGTGTCTGGGACATAACCAACTGGTTGTTTTTACACTTTGGAAAGATCTTATTTAACTCTCTGCAAGAAAACAAATATGAAAAGTGTATATCTAAAAATATTACTTAATTAGAACTTTTCCTTGAATGTAGAATGATGTTATAATGACTATAATGTAAATTATTAATGAACACTGTGTTGTAAACGGTCTCAAAGAGGTTTTCACTGCACTAAGTTACATCATTCATATGAAAGTACCAATACTTTGTTACAGATATCAGATATCTGTACTTTCTACTTTCTCACAGGCTCGTTACTTTAGATTTAATGTATCTGAGGGTAATTATTGATTATTAGTTTTACTTTCCAAACATCAGGACAGACGTAACATGACGACGACAACATAAAAGGGACGTAAAAGATGAAACAGACGAGAGAGGCAGACTCAACCCTGTTTGAAGTTTCAGACTGAAAGAACCAGAAGAAGAGAAGTAAAGAGTACTTTGAGTGCATTTCAAAGCCTGTACTTTTTAACTTTTACTTGACTAAAGACATTAAATCTTCTATTTTTACCAGAGTCAGAGTTATTTGAAGATATGTGTACTTTTGACTATTTTTTATGTTGAGGTAATCTCTACGTCAGTGGCAGTCCCACTACAGTGAAACTGACACCCACTGAGCCCCCCCACCTTATGGAAATGCACAGAGTGTGTGCGTGAGAGATGTATGGGAGGAGGTGTGAGAGTGGGATGTGGCTGACATTTCTTTCTGTTGCTTTGATAGACCCGCCCACTGGAGACTCTGGTGGTCGCTGTGTGACGACTGCAACAACAACTTTGAAAGGTTGAAGGGTTAAACGTCAGATATTCAAGAGGAGGTGATGAAGAATCTGGCCAGACAAATGACAGACTGTAGGTGTGTAATGACATTATAGAGCTTTATTAGACTTTTGGAGAAAGGATTTACCTTTATATTTATTTATTCATTATAAATAAATTCATGATCAGACCACTAAACCATTGCTTAAGCATATAAATATTTCTCTCTCTCTCTCTATATATATATATATATATATATAGAAAGGTGCTGAGATCATGAGTCTGTGTTTCCTCCACTGCTGGCTATACATAATTTATTTAGTTATTCTGACTTTTCTGCTGTTTTATTATTTATTTTATTATTATTACTTGGAGATGGAGATTTAAAACTTTCTCGCCACTGCTCGGAAATCCGTTCTGATGCCAAAATGAATGTTTTACCTTTTTATTTATTGATTGCCCCACAATTACTCAATAGTAGTATAATGAATTTAATCAGCCAGTAAAAATACAGATTAAGTGGTTTGATTGTAGGTCAATTTAAGTCTCCAGACCTCCAGAGGAACTGACCTCTGTTCTCATCCTGAATGAAAAAACACAGAAAACTCATTGAAGGCAACTTTCTATAGTGACTGAGACTGCATATGATCACAAGGGGCCATAAAGTAAAATATATTGATTTAAATATGGTCTAGTTTCCAAAACAACATTGGGCTACTGTTTCAAAATGAAAGCATACATTATTAAGGGTCACTGGCAGAGCGTTACTTACTTATGTTTTGAATTTATGTAAATCAGCAGGTGAGGAGAGGTAACAGCTGACTGTCCATTCACTTCCCTGTCGTTTCCTGTCTGTCTGTAGATTTTCTACGGCGGGGCAATTGTAGCCCGGGAAAAGCAAGCAGGCCTGACACCCATTAGTTGTTTCATTGGACATTTCACAGTATTGTGCACACTGTCTGGCATAAGTATGACCCAGTTAGTGTTTGACTAATGTGTTTAATATAACTGACAAAAGTGCTACTAAATTTACAGCACAGTAACCTCTGAAGGGGTTCCCAACAAGGAGGTAGGACTTCCCGTGAGGTATAGAGCTAAATATAAAGGTAAAATGTAAAATTGTGCTGCTGCAACAGCTGAACATGTGTGTGTGAATGTAGCCCTGTGCCATACTGCTTTCATGTATAGTTTGATACTGAATGTAGATATAGGATCTGTTATCGTTGTGTAATACTGAGGGTAACAGGTAAGTAAATCTCCTTTATCTAACGACCAAATACAGTCTGAAAAGGTCAACTTTCCCATAGTAGAGGAACTGAAAAAGAAGACGGCTCAATCACAACCAAACAGACTGGCCCTCAGAACCCAGAGTAGGTGTGAGTGAGGTTTAAAGAGTTTGAGCTAGTTGCCGTTTCAAAACCCCACTCTGTAAATCCCCCACAGGGACATCTGTGTCTGTGGCCGGCACACAGCAGGCTGATATCGCAACACTGTTCAACACGTGGTCGCATCATAGTGGAAATAGTTTTCTCTTTCTTTATTCTGTACAACGACTGCTCCTCTGTGATGAGATGATTCAAGTTTGTGTTTATATGTGCTGCCACCTGTAGGTTGGAGGCTGCAGTAAATAGGAGATAAGAACCTGAAGGTTTTACATTAAAATGTTATTTGATATAATCTAATTTGTTAATAAGTAGTAAAAGTAGTGACTTCATGAATATGTAACCCTGAATTGTTGATGGAGAGCATTTCTTCTGTCTCTCTAAAATGTGTCCTTTCTTTGAATCTGGGCTGCAACTAATGATTATTTTCATTCTTAATTATTCTGTTAATTATTTCCGCAATTCCTGGATTAATTGTTAGGTAAATAAAATGTCAGGAAATAGTGAAAAGTGGCCGTTACGATCTCTTTAAGCCTGAGGTGACGTCTTCAAATGTCTTGTTTTCTCCAGCAAAACAGTTCAAAGATGTTCAACTTACTATAACTTAACACACAGAAAGACAACCGATGATCACAGTTTAGAAGCTGCAACCAGTCGTTGATGGTTACCTAAATAATAAACTGATTGTGTTAATACCCCTAACCCTGTGTACTCCTAACCCTGTGTATCCCTAATCCTGTGTACCCCTAACCCTGTGTACCCCTAACCCTGTGTATCCCTAACCCTGTGTACCCCTAACCTTGTATACCTCTAACCCTGTGTATCCCTAACATTTAATGTTTGTGAACCTTATATCTGATCAAAGAATAAGTAAACAAGCACCCAATGCAACTTTCAGTACTTGTCAATTGTTGTTTTAAGTGAACATATAGTTGTGAAAGATTTAAACAATGCCCGACCGTCATTGTATATATCATATTATATTTTTATGTTCCTTATATTGTACTTTTCATTCCACCTGATCTTCGTAACTTACTGTCAAATACTTCACCACATCGGGACAAAAAGAAACACAAAATTCATCATAACAGACAAAAAAACCCACTGTAAGCACCTGTTTTCTTATTTTGACATTTACTACGTGCGTCAACACCTACTGCGGGTTAAAGCTGTCAGGTAATCAGGTTCACAGGTTAGCAGCAGTTGTGGTGACAGCTGCATACACAAGGTGAAACAACATGCAGCCACGAGGGTAAATTGTTGTTTATGTTACATCACTGACATTGCGTCATCTCGGGGACACTTTGACCTTTCTGATGTTTCCTTCCAAAGCTCAAAAATCTGGTTTCACTTGAGACTTTTTTTCAAAATAATTGAATGCTCTTTATAATCTTATTTCATGTTTCCTCCCTCTCTCTTCTGTTTTGCTGCCTTCACTTCTTGTCTTCATCCCTCGTGTCACGTGTTTGTTTGTGTTGACTGCAGTGTTGTTTTATGGAAATTAATCGGTTCTGTTCTAATAAAGTTATCGAAGTTAGTTATTGTTAGGCACTGGCCTCACGTCAGATCGATCAATAAACTAATCCCTGACAAAAATCTGACATATAGGCGGCAGTCCAAATTGCTTCAGGAAATAAGATGTGAGTGGGGAAAAAAAACACTTTTCCACCCTCACAACTACTGATGAGATACCCAAACAATTCCCAATAAACTGCTCAGTCGTCAACAGCAGACAATTGGAAAATATGGACACTCTCTGATAGGACTGTATGAATAAGGAATTACAGAAAATTGACGTATGTTCACAAAATGGATGGAAAAAAGGGTTTAAAACAAAGGATGTACACACCTGATTGGAGACCATGTCCCCAACGCCTTCCCAAAGACCAGTGATGGAGCAGAGCGCCGCCTATGAGCCAAGTGTCTGAGGTGCTGTAAGAAAACAGAAGTGAAAACAATATATATTTATAACCCCTTTCATTTATTTATTGATTGTTCAACGTGTGTCATTTTATGTTTTAAACCACGCAACATACCACGCTGTCATTTTCACACTTGCTTTCATACTTTGTATTAGTTGTAAATTAGCAGCTGTGATGTGTGTGGAGCAACTACAGCATCCCAAAACCTGTCAGACTCTGATTATGTAGCATCTGTTTGTCAAACATCTGTCAACACTATACAATACACTGCCCAGCACTACTAGTACTGTACAGTTCACATACATATTTAGATATACATATATAGATTTTTTTGTTAACGATATAAATATATTGTTCTGTGCAATTATTTATTTTTACACCATGCCACTACCTCCAGCTGTAACCTGTGCAACCTTTCATATCAATCACATCTGTAGTAGTTATTGACTCTTATTCTTATTTTTTTTATCATATCTTGTTTATTATTTTTTAGTTAATGTGTACTTTTCTAATCTGTTGTATCTGGAGCTGCTGTATCAAGTGAATTTCTCCAGTGTGGCATTAATAATCTTATCTTATGATACTTTTAAAGGTGTATAATTTCACAGTACACATAAGGCTCCATGAAGCCTCACACTGACACCAATCTAACGCAGCTGGTTTTTCCAGACCACAAACATTGTTTGAAGACTCGAATTAGGACATAATGGGAAAAAAATAATGAAGGACTTCTATTACTATTATTATTATTGTGTATGCACAGAACTGCATTCTTATTGTTTTGGTCCTCAGATCCTTACAACCCAGGTTTACGCTATCAATGAAGGGCCTCTTTACCTCCAGCACGGTGCACGGTCTTTTTAAAGACCCTTTGTGTGTTGTTTGTCTAAGTAATGGGAGCAGCAAATGAAGAGGGGTTTCAATCAGGGGGGAACCAACAACAACAGTGCAGATGGTTTACTGTGATGTTCCCATCAGACTCACTCTAACAAAGACACAATTAACAGTGTGACTGAGGCCTGTTTGAGTTATTTTTGAACAGCAAAGATGAGTAAATATTCAAAAATAGAAGGAACCACCAGTGGAGCTAAATATGAGTTAAAATACGATTAAAACCCTTCCTTAAAATACCAAAACCCTCAGACTGAAATTAGTCACTACAGCGTCTTCAAAAGCAAAATTCCCCCTTTAAAAATAGTTCGTAGAGGAGGCACCCTGAGCATCTGGACATAGTTTGATTGCAGAGGGAAACTAAAGACGCTGTCGGTGGTGGATGTGCACTACAGCCATAACAGATAATGAGGTTTTAGAAGTCAGAAAAAATAGATCCCGGCGTCGGCTCGCTTCATTTACAGAAACAGATTGCCTGTGAGGACAGACGGGACACCATCACGGGAAAGATCTTGCTGAAGCCACTCGCCCGTAACAGCAACATACTGTCCAACCAGCCTGAGATTATGAATGCCTCAATGTGCATCTGCTCTTGATCACTTATCTATGAACTCGCCTCATCTATTAGTGATTGACAGCAGATTACGTGTTGCCTAGCAGCAACAGCAAGGTCTTCAAACTGCAAAATATTTTTAAAAAAAGCTTTTCTTCGATCAGACCTTTAGATAGAGCCGTATATCAAATAGAAATTTAATTAAGGCTTACATCCACTCTGAAAGTAGTGTGAAAATGGTTGAGAGCTCTGTTCTAGGTCTGTCCTTGGTTATTTGAAGGTTTATATGTGAGAGCACAAAATAGTCGTATGGACCCACTTGATGTTTCTGGGTTCGAACAGATTCTAATTTGACAACAATATCATATTTAATGTGTGTTTAATTACAGGTTTGTTGCCTTTTGTTATTTATACCAAAGCTCTTTCTTGCAAGGTGAATAAATAAATTAGTTTTGATAAGAATTTCTTAATTAAGACTTCTGATCATATGATAGCAGCCAAACGTTTGATCATTCAGCAGGTAAAAGTTAAGTCATACAACATGTACAATAAAACACATTAAAACATATTTTTTTCCAGCTTTTTGCAGCTGAAGATAAGACAGGGAGGAGAAAGAGAGAAAGAGAGAGGACAACATGCAGCAAAAGACCACAGAAATCAAACCAAGTCCACTACGGTACATGGGACGCTATACGTTTAGCAGGTTCCCCATCTGAGTTTATTGTGTAGCTTGCCAACATTTGATAATTAACACTCAACACAAAGCACAGCCGAGGCCGATGGGAATGTCCTGAGTTTGGAAGGTAGTTCATAAACAAAAGTATTGTTAGTAAGTTAAAAGTTTGACCTGATGATGGTGATACATGAAAAGTCACGTGAGTTATAACAGTTCATCCTGAGTGGGACATGAATGTGCCAAAATATATGGAAATCCATCTAATAATTGTTTAGATATTTCAGTCTGGGCTGCACAGCTCGCACTGGCTGAACCCAGCTTTTTCTTTTATCACTGCTAACCTTTATTAATGTTCCCAGCAGGAACAGTCCTACATACACACATTAACTGTTTTGTCAATTTGGGTGAGAGACAACAAACAGATTCTCCGTCTTGTTGTGGCTGCTCTCGTGCTCTAATTGCTGGACAAACTGAGAAACTGGGCTCAGCAGAATCGAACACAAAGAGAAAAACAGCGAAACAAAACAAACAAAAGCAGGAACACTACACAAAGCATCTCATTCTGGCCCCTGTCTCTGCAGTCGCTTCCACGCTGGCACACAAAGTCTACTGACTCGTGATGGTCCAGGACCGGGACACAAAGGACCAGGTTGATCTATCAGTCCAGGATACAGGTGCTTCACTGTCAATTACAGAATGGGTGTGTATATTCAGTACCAGTACGCTGTTGATATAAAGGTCAGTTTATTCTGTCATGTAGTTTTCTCTGTCCTGTGTGACAACAAAGTTTAAAGCAGCAACAAGAAACTTTCATTTTGTGTTGATTGTGGCGCCCCCTGTGGACAGAAACGGTAGTGTTTCCACTGTATGTCATGTGGAGGTATCAGTATTAAACTGAGACTGTTTCATAACCAGTCAAAATCTCTTTTTTTAGTGGTTTTCACAGAATGAATGTGTAAGTATGTTCACTATCTTCCATGTTTGATATACTGATACTGAATTTCATTCACTGTATCCACCAACTCTTGAGGGAAAATATCAGACTCTTGATAAATGTTTCATTATAGCCATCAGCTAGTTGCTTATTGTCTGCAGAGACTCTCTCTCTGTACATCTGATGGGACTGCAGCGTCGGGTGATAATTCTCTGTGGGACGTCACTACGAGCAACAGCTTTCACATTACACAGTGATTTCAGCTATTGTTACTGAAAATATTGATGGTAGCAGCTTTAATGCAGCGGGATGTGCATTAAAACCTCATTAACACTTGACAAAAAACATTAGTTGATTTTTAAAAGCCTAATTACCAAACAAGTCTTCATAACTAGTGAATAGGTTATTTGTCAATGCCTGGTTTCCACAATAACCCAGTGGGCACCAATTAACTGGGTGATTGTTTGTCAGAACAAAACTGCCAATATAACCATTAAGAAAAGGGATACACATGACAGTTTTCTGCCCTGCTATCCGTCTGGTTAATGTTGGGTTAGGTTAGACTGAAACTACTTGATGGGAGACGTGGTTTCCGTCCTCACTCACTTCCAGGTCCATAATTATAAATTCAGGCATGTGTTTCCTGTATCAGAGCTAACTGGCTCCAAGACATTTAGAGGTCACAGTTCACCAGCATCACTCTTGCAAAGTGTTCAAATTTTTTTTATTATTATTACCCATATCATAACATAAGTGGAATAAATACTGTCCAAGGTGGTGATACGTTTGTATTTGTCAAAGATACGGGCAGCATGCAGATTATAGACTGGTTATTTGACTGATTTTATTTTTATATGATATTATATGAAGATCCATAAACCTATATATCATTGGATCTTTACAGATAGCCGGTGGATCTAGAGAAATATTCATCGAGTGACAACAGGGTGGCAGAAATATATGCTGATTTAATCACAAGAAATATCAAAATTTGCCTGGAATTATTATTTCTGGCACATTAGTAAGTAACTGAATAGAAACACATCGACCTTTGCTGTATATACTGTATATAGTGTCATATTTACCTGTCTCATGTACATAAAGAAACCTGCACGTAAATATTTATTTCAGCATCCTTTGCACTATTGTCTACTGTCTACAAATGTTATTATTTTTGTTTGTTATATATGAATAACTGTACATAGTAGTTTATGTCTATTTTGTTCTGTTTATTTATGCTTAGTCTGTGTTTGTACATTGAGAACAACATAAAACCGAATCACATTCCTTGTATGTGTGCACCTACCTGGTCAATAAAAGTGATTCTGATAGCTAAAGGTGGCATTAGAAATAAATGAATTGTTTTATTAAATCTTCACACACTTTTCCAAATAGGACTTTTCTCATTGAACCTAAGTCAGTCACTTAAAAACTGTTTTTCAACCATTTTTTGGTTTTTTTAATCTAAATTGAAGTGTTCAATTTGACAGCATTTGACACCACATTATGGTGGCCAGTCATGTTTTAGGCACCTATCTAGATCCACTGCTGACTATGTGTCTGTTTCCCATTCAGATAGTGTTTTGCATGGCGTAGCGGTTTCGGCTTAGGTTAAGGTTAATCACAGAGATAGCTTTTTGGGGCCAGGGCAAAGGGGAAACACAGATCAATGGGAAACAGACTTTTTACACAACAGGAAATCACATGGATATTTCTGGGTGCTGACTGTTGGCAGTGGACAGGAGGCTATAATACGACACCTTAACGCTACTTCAGCCGTTGCTCTTAAGAAAGGAGAGGCATTATTTGAACAACCCGCAAGAGGTTGCTTGACAGGAAAACACACACACACACACACACACACGTGTAATTCAAGGTGTTTGAAATAACAACCGCAGTTGTTTCCTAGTGAGGACAGACTCCAATTACAAGCCAGTAAATTGAACATTGAAAAACAGGATTTCCAGTTACTCAGGTGGAAATTGATATTTAAAAGTCTTCCACTGGTATTTCTATCTAACCATCACTGAAAGCTCAACACCTCCAAATACTTTTTCCCCTCCCTCTTAACTTAACTGAACTCATTATGACACTAGGCTTTGTTTCCTGTCACCTGATTAGAACAAAGTAGCAGTAAAAGTACACAAGGATGTAGTCAATCTGTTCGTTGACTGGTGAAAGGTTTCGTCGTCCAGGATGTTTGCTGACTTTTTCTTCATCCGTCTTATGTAACAGCCTCAAATCTCTCTCCCTTTGACACACAGCAGCACAGATTCATGAGTCTGGAACAATTTAAATAGCAGCGTCTCACACTGACTCACACTCAGCGGTCATCACCAACAGGATCTTTTTCCTCTTTGGCTTTTGGATGGCGGATCAATACTCACGGGGCGTAGAGAGGTTGCAGCATCATCATAGCTTCCTCTCCTCATTGCTGCAGTTCCATAACCTGGAGAGTCCATGTCTCCGAGCAAGCCCCCCTGCTGTCCTGTACTGTAGTTTGTGTTGTCGGTTTTCGCTCAAGAGAAAGTAGAGATAAGTAAGTAGTCTGCGATCCAGTTTGAGGGGCTCTGCTGCGAACGAATGACGAATGACGCCTCTTGTCCTGCAGAACAGCCTCTTCTAACTGGTGCTAATGAGGGTTACAACAATGGAGGCCCAGCTGGCACACAAAATGGGAGACGGGGGGTTTGTGCCTGACCTTGGACCCACAGTGCCAGTCTGATCCGAGCCACCAGCCTCACACCGCCCCACCAAATAAAAACCCCATCCATCCATCCCTCCCCTCCATCACAGCCTGTCCTGTTCCGCTCCAGTGGGGCAACTTCCTCCCATAATGAGCTCGCCGTGCGTCCCATCAGGGCCTGCCGCCTCGTCCCCATTTCCAGGCTAACAAGGGTGAGATGCCGTGACAGCCAGTGCTGTATGGGGTCTCACACACATCCCCATCCCCCCCTTTGTGCATACATGAAGAGGTGCTTACACACACACAAACAGATGTACTTTTAGAGTTGAGTTTTTAAGCCAATAGTGTAATCTACTTTCCTTTCAGCTAATATAAGCTAATATACTGACTGGTTGGAGTTAAACTTAAAGGGTTTGACTGGGAGCAACAAGCAGGAGAGAGCTCAGCAATGAAAGGAGAACATTTATGAAGGGAGAAATGTTTGAATTGCATCTCTTTCTGTTCAATGGAACAGCTATGGCGACATTAGGCAGAGCCAGTGGGACATAGTTTGTCCAAAAGAGTAAACTGACACACTGCAATAAATTAACAGCTCTGAATCTCTGACCCAGCGTAGCCAATCACAGCCGACTCACAGACACACCTCCTGATCCACTTCTCACAGTATGAATACATGCAGAATATGTTGGGATTGTATGTTCAGGGTGATAGAATATATGATACACAAAGTATTTGCTTTGAATGTAGAATGTGTAATCTCACATCAAAACAACAACAAAAGACAACATTTTTATTAAATTAAAAAAGCTCTATAGGCAGGTGAGCTGTGTGTGGCGATGAGCTGTTTCATACAGTTGTGCACCAGGAGCCAGGGAGGGAGAACACAAACACACACAAAAAGACAGTGACAGACAGACAGACAGACAGACAGACAGACAGACAGACAGACAGACAGACAGCACTGGAAACAGGGAAGAGAAAAAAGAAAGAAAAATAGTAGGGAAATATACGTCTTGTCCTAAATTAAAAAGGTTGAAAGAACAATCTTTTACATCAAAGTAAACATTCACAATCATGTAGATAATACGAGAGCATTCATAATAAACCCCAAACTGAAAAGACTTTGGACATATTGATTGATCCCCATGAGAGATAATTCAGCAAAGAAAGCAGAACAACAAAACTGAAAGATAGAAATTGTGAAATTGATGAGTTATGTAAACAACTTTCAACATGTCAGCGGCAGAAAATATGAGAGCTTTGGAAAGAGTATCAATTAGTTACATAAACAGAATTTATTTACATTTTTAATACTAATTCATTGTTCCCAACCCCCACAATGGGGGCACAAGATAGAATAAAGTGGTGTTTAGACGATTAATAACAAGAGAGAAATGTTGCTGGGGTTTTAAATCATTAAAAAATATAAAAAATATGAAAAGGAAAACTCTTTTTTTCTGGTTGAAAATCACATAGATTTGTGCAAGCTGTGATAAAGGGTCACATGTTAGATGAGTGTCATCACGCAGAGGCACAAAAGCAACTTCCTTCTTTTAGAAACACATTTGGAAAGAGAAACAAAACTCCTCGACAGAAAAGGGAAGGTGTGATGTTTAATTTCCATCTCTCCCTCGTAGACCCACATTTATTCTTAACCCTGTGACTCTTTTTATATCTGATTGCTCTGGTGATTCAGTATTGACGACAGGCTCCACACATAATCACCAGGGTGATTGTTGTTTACACTGTTGTTGTTCCATTATGTTTTCTCCAAGAGTGCATACTTTTTCTTAATTGTCATATTATCACGAATTGCCGGCTGAGTTGTTACTTTTCCCGATTACCAACTTTATCACACCGAAGGAAAAGTACTGAAAACTGCAGGAGGTAACTTTTATTAAAAAAATAACGTTATCTCATATTTGATGAAACTTTCACTATATAATGACAGTAGAACATAAAACACATAATCTGTAAAAATCAGAGCTGAGAAAAAACAGCTGATTGTTGAATCTCAAACACAGACGCTGGGAATAAGATTCAACAATTAACTATCTTCAAACCACAAAGACCAAAGCATCTTTCTGTCTTTCTCAACATCTTTCTCCACAATTAACCCTATCAAGGGTGCTTTTGTTACCTAAACCTAACCAGAGATGACCTTTTGTTGATCCAGAAAACCTTTATTAGTAAAACATTGAAGTATTAGGCAGTATTAGGCTTTATAAATGTTGTTTCTCTGGGTTCTCTGTGGAGACCAAAAACTGAACTAAAAGGAAAGTGAGTATTGGAGTTAAAGGTTCAGTGTGTAAGATTTAGTGGCATCTAGTGGTGTAGTTGCAGACTCACTTGCTTCACCCTCTCCTTTCAAGCATGAGGGAGAAACTACAGAAGAAAAAAAAACCTACAAAAAATGCCCAAACCTGGAGCCAGTGTTTGGTTTGTCCCTTATGGACTACTGTAGTAACATGGTGGCCTTCATGGAAGGATTATCTGTAGATAAAAACAGCTCATTTTAAGGTAACAAAAACACAACAATTCTCAATTTCAGGTGATTATGAAAACATACCTATGAATATTATATTCCATTTCTGCCAACAGATCCTCATAAATGTTACACACTAGACCTTTAATATCTATTATATTTCATGGTTTACTTTGTGAAGTCGGGGGTTAGTCCCATATTTTGACGGTAGCAACAGATTTCCTGCAGCCTCTAAAGTTTTAACTTCTACTGCTCATATTTACGTCTGTCGGAAATTCAGGGTCTCCATTTCACCTGACCTGCAACTATTTAGGGGGCATTCAAATAAACAAACAGCACTTTTGCCCTTTTGTCATTAGCGTTTCGAGTTGGCGTTGGTCCTGGACGACTCCATTTAGCCTTGTTTAGAAAAGTTTCCATCCAGTTTTCAAAAACTCAGCGTGGAGCCAATTCTGAGTTGTTTTCATGGTTTGATCTTGGCTGTCTGGTGAAGTGGCAGCGATGGGTTGGATGACATTTCACATTATGATTTCTTTATTAGATAAAGCTTTGACACAGGTTTCCATTTTCTAGAAGCATGTGCATGTGTGTGTTTTGATTGGCACGGAGAAGTAATGACGCTGCCATAGACTGATTTGCCTCTTTGTAAAGCATTCCCAGACGCAACCTCTTTGTGCTTTCAAACTCAAATGTTTGAACACGTTAACCAGAGCACCTCTCTGCCTTTAATAGCGTACTTATGTTCTTTCCTCGCTTCTCACAGCATTTGTTGAGTGTACGTCACGATGGTAGAATTTCCAGTGAAACAACCCCATGGCGAGTTCATACAGAGAAATACAATTATGTCTTGTTGTTGATTTGGACCACGGAGGAAACACTTTGCAGCTTTGCTCATCAATGCAGCCTTTTGTCAAGAGATTGCATAACATGTAAGCACATAAACAGAGCCTCACTTAACAGCTCACTGCTCATCTCTCACAGGTCGGACACAGAATATAACCAGGGCTTTAATCTTTTCTCCTGAAGTCTCCTGAGTGTTACATTTTTTTAAAAAATTTAAAATTTTAAATGCTGCAGTTTTAAAATAGCTGCTGATGACAATGATGATGTTTTATTCGCTCTGTTTAAATCTGCAGACACCAGGGCCCTTTGGGGACAGAGGAATAGCTGTAAACACAACATAGAGATATTATCACTGTATAAAACTGTTATGGCGATTGTGTAATCAAGTTGCTTCGAGCAGACCGAGCAACATATTTATTTGGCTTCATGTTTTGTATATTTTTGGGGCTTTTTTGACTTTATTGGAAAGGATAATCAAGATCAAGATAGACAGGAAAGGGAAGAGAGAGAAAGGGGATGACCCGCTGCTACAAGGACTCAGGCCTGGTGCATGGGCCACAAGCTGAGCTATCTGTCTCCCTGTTATAGCATATTTTTCAAGTCTATTTTCTTCAATTTGTGCGTGAAACTACAGTGAAAGTGACGGCGTCGTCAAAAGCTATAGTGTAAGTCCGATACCTATTTTAGTCTAGATAGATAGATAGATAGATAGATAGATAGATAGATAGATAGATAGATAGATAGATAGATAGATAGATAGATAGATAGATAGATAGATAGATAGATAGATAGATAGGTTTCTTTATTAATCCCCTTGGGGAAATGCAGGTATCCAGATACTCAGACTGTTCACATACAAATACATACAAAAAGACAAAAACAGATGGCAAAATGGGTTAAAAAACAAACAAACAATAAATGAATACATAAATAAGACGGTAAATACACTATGTTCACCAGCTAGCCACCAGCTGGCAGACTTTGTCTGTCTGTCATTTGGTGCTTTTCATGGAGCGTACTGTTGGTTTTTAAAGCTTTTAAGCTGAAACCAGCTGCCTGCAGCTACAACACAAACAAGCTTTGTGTGGGTTTATCACTATGAATGACAATGAAAACACACATTGATATAGCAGCATTAAATAAACTAAATCATCAAGAGTACAGGAGAGTTGTCACTGTCTCCACTCACATAAACACTGTGTAAAGCTCTAATTGCTGCCACAATGGAGTACAAGGAACTCTTTAAACAGTGAGGGCGAGCAGACAAATAAATGGGTCTCTCATTAACATGCATGAAGCTGTTAACTCACTCAGAATGAGCGTTAAGAAATGAGAGGAAGCTCATTCGGCTCTGTAAGAGAATTTTATTTAATTGGATTCATCACAGTAGAGTTAGACCGTGGACTGAATAGAAAAAAATAATATTTGAGCATTTTGAACCTTGCAATATATATAATCAGAAAAGAGCGGTGTACAATATATCAGATAATCACAGTTAAAATGGATGTGATCAGTGTACTACATTGTAGAAACATATTATTGTTGACATATTTTTGTTTGTTTGTTTTAGAAAAAATATAGTTTTTCAAGATGCTTCATTAGGACACAAAGGAAAGAAAAATACAAGAGCTAAAAACAGAGAATAGACTTCAATTAAGATGCAAGATCTTTTTTTTTAAATCCCCAAATTCATTTAAAAAAAGAAAGAAACACATCAAAGGTATGAAGAAACACTCAAATGTCCTGACAATGTGGGTAAACATCAGACAGAACATTACATAAGTATGTAAGGTAGGTAGTAACTGAGCAATAAATGTACAAAATATTACAAATACAAACATTAAAAGAGAGCTTTATTATCCCCGGACCAACAGTATTCACATAACCAACGTATCAGACAACAGATCGTTAATACAAACATCACATAAAGTTGTTTAAAAGACCAGCCAGGATAGACGCCCTCTTCTCTGGTAGCTCATTTAAGTGCCGGACACTTTGACTTAAGCCTGTAGTCTGTTAATGTTTTGAGGGTAAATAACCCAGAAAATATGAGGATTGATTCAACACTTTAACATCAACATTAAAACTATGTAGCTTTTGATTTGTGAGTTCAACGGGTATAAACAGCTCACACACGCAAAGACACACACAGTGAATGAGCATAATTGCAGAGGAGTTAAGGGCATCATAGCTTTCAGCTGGATTTGTTTTTAAAAAAAATTCCATTATGTGGAAAACAGCAGGTGCTCCTGTTTCTTTGTGTTCAGTAGTTGAGTTCAAATGCCCTTAAAGTGGATCTGCTGCATATGTGAAAGGCAACTGCAGGCTCAAATTCTAACAACAAAGAGCAAAAAAAAAAACACATAATGAGTGACACCAATCAGCCGTAACATTACGACCTCCTGGGGCACGCTGGTGGTTATAATGTGATAATTCTGACACCTTTCTATCAGAACCAGCATGAACTGTTTCAGCAGTTTGAGCTACAGTAGCTCGTCTGTTGGAATCGGACCACGCCCATGACCCTGCCCATTTTTCCTGCTTCTAACACATCAACTTTGAGGACAAAATGTTCACTTGCTGTCTAATATATCCCACCGACTGACAGAAGCCAGATAACCAGATAATCAGTGTTATTCACCTGTCAGTGCTCGTAATGTTATGGCTGATTGGTTTATGATGTTGCTACACTTTCACAGATCCTTTACATTTTAGAGGTTTTAGAGGTAGAGTGTTTAAGCTAAAAATGTTAAGTAGAAATTAATTCATTTAAAATTAATCTCAGTAATCATACTTACTGTGCCCTCAGCTAATTTATTAATACACAATAATTTACTGAAAAATGTAATGACAGTATAAATACTTAAAGAAACAGCATAAATAATGCACTGACCTTATGAAATTGGATTGAAATTGGATTGAAATTGGCCTTTCATTTCACATTTTGACTTGTCACAGCAGGAACAAGACTAGAGTATACCACGTTCATATCATAAAGGAGAAATGGGAAAGATTCCCATGTTTACGACTTGCAAACATTCACAGTATTAAGACAGTTGTCACATGAGCATTAATATACTGATTGATATATACATACATATCCATTAAATATGAGTTTAATTGATTTATCCTGAGGGAGACATGAATGTCCATCTTGAGACGTTTCACTCAAAACCACAGAGGTTATAGAAGCTTTAACAGGATGCAGGCTGGTAATCTAGTTCACTAGGAGCTCGATGTTAAACTTCGCTGCTAAAAACATCTCAGAGTTGCAACCCAAACAGAACCTATTTAATTTACAAAAAAAAGCAACCTGGACCCTGATTAATTGAATGGAAACAGGACAAGATTTTTTGGTTGTTGGCTGTCGACGGTTTAACCATGCTGCCTTTATATCATATATCTGTATTAACAGTGATAGAGTTCATATAGAGACAGGCAGGGAGGCTTTGGCAGGTTTACTGTCCAAGAGGGACGGGGTAATCTTCGACACGGACCCCCAGCAGGCGTACACCGGCCTGCCATGGACATGGAGGCTGCTGGGGTGCGTTACTTTACTCTTGCTGTGAATTCGGTCCTGAGACAAACCAAAGTTCTTCTTTTGGATGTGGTTTCTTTCCTGGAGCTGAATGTGGATGGGATACGGGCCTGGGTGGCCCGTGGCGATGTGGATGCCTACGCGATTCCCCCCGAATTTGGGGCAGAAAGAGAGGATCATGCAGCGGAGCTCCTGCTGGAAAGTCTTGTTAAAGTAGAAGTAGATGAACGGGTTGTAGATGTGGGAACTTTTGGCGAAGAGGGCGGGGAATACAAAGCCCTCAGGAGCCATGTACCGGTTCTCCTTGTGGAAAATGAAGAGGAAGGACACAACAGCGTACGGGGCCCAGGCGATCACAAAACCCAGGCTGATGCAGAAAAACATCTAAAAGAGGAAGTAACAGATTACAGAAGATTACTACACAAAACTTAACAAATCATTTATTCTGATGTACGCTAATATGAAACCTGTTTCCTAGGAGATTCCCCTTGTTAAAAACAAAAAAACGTGGTTGTGCTAGAAAAGAAAGATCTTACGTTTCTGTTAGTCATGTGAGTAATGACAGTATCAATCACATGTTCACATTACATCACATTATTTTAAATAAAGTGTTTATTTTCAGTAGCAACGCAAGAAATTTTGTTTTAAAGCTCTAAATAACGTCTTAAGCAGAAGCTTTGTGTACAAAGGTGTCTGACTTCCACAACTTAATATAATATTAATATTTAATTTCCAATCAACCTCAACTGTGTTTTGTTTTTTTTACCACACCGGCAATCTTTTACTATAGCTCATTTAATCCAGGTCCCTCCCAAACATCTATCTAAGACAGGGGTCAACCTGCGGTCCCTGTCCAGTGGCTCACTGCCGCTTTGACAAACAAATTATATAGATATGTCATTTTCTGCTGCTGGCTTACCAGTATGCTTGATTTGCAAAGAGAAAATACAGTTACAGAGAGTGCTCAAATATGTGGTAAATGGACTATATATATGTATGTATGTATCAGCTCTAGTCTTCCGACCATTCAAAGCACTTTACATTACGTGCCACATTCACCCATTCACACACATTCATACAGTGATGGCCATCACAAACAGAAAATAACTCCATCCATATTCATAGACTTTATATAAAGGTATAAAGGGTAACCTCCATTACTAATACAATTAAGAGACAGGAATATTACATTGCGATGCTGGAAGATTACCACCATATCTCTGATAAAAAAACGACTTATGATCCACATGAGCTTTATTTAAAGATCTCATTGTGCACAGCAAGAACAAGGCACCTCTTTCTCAAAAGCTCAGACAAAAGAAAGTCATCTGTGGATGTGATTGCAAACATGACGGCTCTCCAAAAACAATCAGTGTACAGATGGATGTGTGAGTGAAAAAAAAAGAAAAAAATCTGCATTCAAAAAAACCAATACAGGTCACGAGGGGGTTCACTGAATGTTTGTGTGTGTTTAATGTGGCTCATTACACTACCATCACAGACTCCTGAACCAGAACCAGATGAAGTATATTAACATTTTACTTAAAGAGGTCCTCCACCCTAAAGTGTGTTTATTGTAAACTGAAGTCACTTAGTCTAAAATGTGGCCATAATAAATCAGTTAATTATTCAGTTTTTTAACATTTAACATATTTAAAATTAATCTAAATGAATGAATTGATTTTTACAGAATTTGACACCAAGCTCTTGTGGCAGCTGCAGTGGCGGTCCATCTAGATCCACCCCTACTTGTTTAATCTTTTTGGCCTAACATAAAGATTTCAGGAAGCTCCTTGTCCTGCACAGAAGCTCCCAACCCCTCCCCAAAAAACGTATTGATCTTAAACTTTGTTTGCTCACCATGGTGAGTCGTTTTTCAGCATATCGCAGGTTGTTGCGGATGCCTCTTGCAGACAGCGAGTAGGAAAAGCGGTAAACCTTGTAGAGGATCTGACACTGGGACACCATGATGAAGACGACGGGAACCAGTGTGAAGAAGGCGAAGGAGCAGATGACATAGAAGGCGTCCTTGGCTGACGTATGATAACCCCTCCAGGCGACGGTGCAGGACAGTCCGTAGGGCTCGGGGACGTACTCACCCCAGCCGAACAGAGGGAAGCAAGACCACAGTGCAGCCACAAACCAGATGGCACAGCACGCTAGCTGGATGTTGGCGCCTTCCAGCCACACAGCTGACAAGAAGAACAAAACCTGTTTAGTTATATAAAAGTGTTTGTCCAAGTCCTTGCCGCCTCAGGGCTTACAGGAATAGTTTAACCTTTTGTCAAGTTTGATTAAAAGATACGATTCATGTCAGTACAGGAAAGACACTACAACCGAAAAGTAAAGTAGGAATTGTTTTGTATCAAGTGTTTTAATATTCGATTGTGCTATTTTGAACAATTTCATAGCTGTTATCAATGTCCTTAGTGGATAAATAATTATAATACTAAAAGAAAACTCTATTAAATGCAAAGCTGCCATATATGACTGCATAAAAAAACAACCCTAAAGTTCTCAGGAAAGATAACACCTCAGTTCTGTCAACATTCGTCTCTTATTGATCACGAACAATATCCCTAATGTAGCCACTGAGGCTATGTGGCTATTTTAAAAATAGCTCCTGAAGAATTAAGCATAAATGGACTCTGAGATCATCAGAGAAGATATGTGCTTTTAAGAGCTGTAAAACGTCACCTGTCCATTATGAAGAAAATAACATACCTTTGGACACTTTTGATTGTAACATCCTTATCAATAGACTACATCAGTGCGTTGATATATTTTGAACTACTCTTAAAGGGTTTGACTCTGACAAATAGAGAATATTTTTCTTGGAAATTATGTTTAATCATCAGATCCAAAAATGTAAGGGATCCATTCATGATCCCATTTTGTTTTCCCTCTATATTATTTGTCGTTTGAATGGGGTCTGCTAACAATGCTACACCGATGATACACTAATCTACTTGTCCTTCCAGCCAGATAATGTTAGCTGCCCGGGCAGTTTAATGAAGTGCTCAACTGCTACTGAAAATAGATGACCTTGTAACAGATGTTATAATCTTTGGACCTGATCACCTTAACAACCACTGGCAACCAACATCAAACCTTCAGCCAGAAATCTAGATGTCACTCTCAACTGGACTTTGAACCACATTGCTACATCCACCTCCAGAAACATTACCAAAGAATAATTCATCTTTGAGTTTTCCTGACCTACATAGGCTTATTCATGTCTTTGTCTTCTTGCACCTGGACTATTGCAGTACACCATTTACATGTCTCCGTAAATCCTCAGTGGCTCAGCTTCAGCTTGTGCAGAATGCTGCAGCTCGAAACACCAGTCATGGGTCACATATCACTCCAGTTCTCGCCTCTCTTCATTGGTTGCCAGTTCAGTTCAGGACTGATTTTAAGATTTTAAGAAGAAGGTATAGCCCCCAGCTATACGATGGAGCTCTTGCCTCTAGGATTTCCTGCCTGTGGAGGTGTGTCAGTATTACCTGCTTTTGAATCACAGCTTAAAACAGCAAAGTCTTTTATGATGTCTGACTTGTAAATCTTGGTGGGGTTATATTTGATTGTTTTATTCTCATGTATTCTGTCAAGCACTTTGAAACCTTGTTTGGATAAGTGCTATAAAAATTGTTGTTATTAACAAATGCCTCACCATAAACCAAGCTGTAGCATGTCTTCAGGTACCGTATGATGCTGATGGCGGTGATGGTGAACATGCCGCACAGGCCGAAAATGTAGCAGCCAAGGCCGTAGTAAACGCAGGTGACGTTTTCTCCCAGCCATGTGTGGTTAAAGGAGGAAATGATGGAAAGCGGGTAGAAGCAGATGCAGCAGAGGAAGTCGACGACGGCCAGGTTGACACACAGCAGCTCCGAGCCCACCATCTTCTTCCTCCTGCGGTAACAAACCACCAGAACCAGCCCATTGCCCAGAACAGAGAGCAGAACTGGGACAGAAAACAAGGGGAAAACATAATTTGTGTGAAAGGTGTTGCATAGTGATGAGCATCATTGATCTGCAGTTCCTGTCAGCTGTGTTTTGGCGTCTTTTAGCTCATTGTTTTGGTTTGGTTCTGATTTACTGCTCTTATCGATTTGTTTGCAGCTCTTCTCTGTTTTAAAAAAACACATGATATAAACGGTTGGTGGCGCTCTCCAGTCTGGTGCCATTAAGCCACAGAAGAAGAGGATGCCGCAGGATTATGTAATTTAAACACAGTCAAAACAAAGCTCCAGTGAAAGTTCATGAATAAATAAAAACAGCAGAAATCATGACGGAAATATGGCCTTTCATGTCTTCTCGTCGCTCCACACTGACAGTTTACATTGTGTGTATCATGATTCATTCACTGTGTTTCTATTTCATTTAGTCACATTTTATGTTTAACAACAGGTGGATGGAAACACACATAGAAACAGAATATTCTTTAAGGGAAATAGAAGAAAAGAAAGAGGATTTCTGTTTATTTTTTTAATACAATCAAACTTAAAAGAAATAACCTTAGATGGCATTAAAGACTTTAGCATTAAAGTGTATCTTCATTTATCTTCCTTAGAAATACAAAAAAACACACACTGGCTGTTGAAGAGTCATCAAGAGTGTGTGAAGGAGTCGGAAGCAAAAGAGGCAACAAGAATAAATAGTGTGATAAATGAAAATGATCATTTTACCAGGTATATCACAGACACACAGACGGTAATGTTAATACCTCAGGCTCACACCTCCATTTACACTCAGAGCCTGAGGAGTAACTAGTGCTGAGTTGGTAAACCTTCATCAATGTGTTTGGTTGCAGGTTACCGAGGAGGCTCTTTTTTTAAGGTTTAAAGGCTTTTTAAGGTGCAATTCACTTGATTATTATGTAATTCTTTGTAATTATCTATAACTTCCGCAACACCACAATCTTAAAACTCATTACTATTTATGTAATTTCTCTCAGCACATTCTGTGAAATATGTTTACATTTACTTTGTATATAGGCTCTTATTATATTTCTATTTTCCATTTTTTACTTTACTATATGTATATACCTATACATTAATTTCTATTCTATATATTGTATATAAGTACTATTTCTTTAACGTTGTGCGAGTAGTAGAATAAAGTATTTCTGATTCAGATTATGTAAAAAGTTAACCCAAGAGATCATTTGTCAGATATTTTAATGTGAAAGAAAGTAAACATAACTTATGTGTGTTTTTAATGCACAACCAAGATAAAATAACACATTTAAAGGATTTTGCAGCCTCCATTGCTCAGTCCTACTATGTTTCCTGCATTTCATTAAACCAGCTGGGTGTCCATATTGATTACCATATTGACACTGGGTGTCCATATTGATTACTAGAATAATTTAGATGAAAAACATAATCAGAAACAAGTAAAAGTGTGTTTATATAAAGTTTTAGCAGCGTTAGGCTTTAAGGGGACCAGCAGCTGGTCAAGAACAAATATTTTAAAGATGTTTTGAGGGTAAGACAGCAGGTTTGAGTGGATACATACCGACGGAGAGGATGGTCAGTCCCACACATATGTCTGCAGTGGGGGTCAGTTTGGAGGTGAACTCAGAGGCGGTCCGGTTGTCAGAGGAGTTCAGATGCATTGGTTGGAGCTTGTTTCTGATGTTGTTCTGCGGGTAAAAAAAAAAAATCCTTGACTTGTCTCACAGAGCGAGCTGCTGTGCGCGACCAAGGAGGCTCACTTTTATGCAGGCAGGACGTGTCACCATGGTAACTTAAAGCGGAGGTTGAGGCGCGTGTGAGGGGATGCTGAAGGGTTAACGGAGCTCCTCCAGGTGGGGGGGGCAGCCTTGTCTGATGAGCTCAGGAATAACACTGGAGTGTTTACAGCGAGATGAGGTTGAATTAGTTGTTAAATAGTTTGTTAATGTCTCATTTCTTACCTCCAATTATTTATTTTTCCATTAAAAAAAAAGAAAATTCAATCTTTTTTTTTTTTTATACCTCCTCAGTGCAGATTTTACATTTTCTTTCCAGCGTTTTATGTGTGTATATATATATATAAAGTTAATTCTTCTTGTTGTTCTTTATTATTAAAAGGTACAGTGTGCAACTTCTATCTATTATTAATCCATCTATTGGCAGATATGTCAGAAAAGGAATATTCACAGGTATGTTTTCATTAGTGTTTAATCACCTGAACATGAGATTTGTTGTGTTTCTACCATAGCCCATAAGGGACAAACCAAACACTGGCTCCAGATGGGTCCTTCACACAAGGGACGGAGACACACTGGTCCTTTAAAGTCATGCACAACTTTGAGTCTCATGAAATGAAAATGTTTCCAGTTTTACAAAGAACGGTACCAAATCTCCTCTCTTCAGGAAATAAAACACAATCAGATACAACAAAACAACAAACAACACAGTAAAATAAAATACTTCATCTCATACGCACAGTTCACAGTGTGAAAAGTGGCGGCGTGAATACAATTATTTTATGTGTGTATTCAGAGTTCCTGGGTGTTTGTGCAACACTGGCTCGCTGTCACACTGTCATGGTTACCGGGGACACTTGAATATTACAAATCCTTGATGCCGATTAGTGACACCTGCTCTTTTTCCTGCTGTGACAAATCTAAACATCTGCTGTGGAAACAATCTGTTATTTGTTTTTCAGATGCATCTGGTGAATTAAGTCAAATCAAGTTTTTACTCTTTATCTTCTTCATCGTTCCCAAATTAATTAGATACGTTTTTAACTCGCCATGGTAGGAAGACATAAATCGACTGCTCTGTTCCAGTTGTAACTGCGAGACAGAGCGGAACTTAATAATGTAAACAACTCAACACCTGTGATTGACAAGTCAGAGGATGGCTGCGTGTAAGGTCTGTGCAGCTTTACCTTTGTGTTTGTCTGAAATGTGCACAGAGCAAATAATCCGTGAACAGTGCTGCACTCCTGAGAAACAATGGGCTTCAATGACAGATTAATCATTAAATGGGCTTTACTGATTGATCTGTCATTAATGTGTTTAATCAGTAGCCTGTTTGGGTTTTACTAACAACTCTGAACTGATTTCTATTGTTTTATTAACCACCATGTGTTTATGATAAAACTTCAATTAAAAGCAGGGTGCCAATCAGACGCAGGTCTCCATCACTAGCCTGGTGTTGCTACACGTTTTGATGAGTAAACAAATGTCTCAATTAGACGCCTACTCTGGATTTGAAAGTAGTTCTTTGTATGTGTAAAGACCTCTTCAAGTCACCGGGTCGCCTGAATGAGCGAGTTCCAGGCTGCTTTTGTCAATGTGGACACAATACAGGTAATAAAGTATTCACCTCCAACCCTTACAATACTATCTTCATTAACATTAGACTGTACTTTTACTGCAATACTCTTTTACAGTAACATACTGAATGAATTACTGTCCTCTAATTCTACTTTTCATTGTGTGTTTTTAAGCTTTATGCATTTATTTTCCCCAACCCCTTTCTTTTCTTGTGTTCATTGAAATGTGAGTAAATGAACTGGAACAGTTTCTAACAGGAGGCTGTGTGAGAAATATAAAAAGGTAAACAAAGTGCTAAAGACAGCAGTGTTTTGTATAAAGGTCATCAGTGTGTTGTTGCTGAGTAATTCAGAAACAGCAGGTAGAAACCAAGAGAGTACTTTTATACTTTGAGTACATTTCAGAGCCTGTACTCCTTTACTCTTATTTGAGTAAATAAGTTGAATACTTCAACTACTTATTCTTTCTTTAAACCAGTATCTATCTATACTTCTGCTCGAGTAAAGAATGTGTGTACCTTTGCCCTCTCTGATAAAAACATTAATTCTGGACATTTTTAGAGATGTATGGGATTGTTTCTGACATTATATTACATACACACAGTCTGAAAATGTCATATAAAGTGACCAACAGTAATATCTGCTCTTTGTCGGGGCCCAGAAGCTCGGCAGTGACCACAGGCGAGAGAAAGAAACAACCTTGCACCACCTGTTGACCTCCATGATGTACTACAACCCAACACACTGCAGTGAGAGAGAGATAGAGAGATAGAGAGAGAAAGAACAACACTGGTGTTTAAGCTTTGAGTAGAAAGATAAAGTCGACTTTATTTGATGGTGAAACCTAAATAAGATCTGTGATTACAAAACAGGTTCCCCACGCAGTTTTTTTAAAACGTCACAGAGGTTGGAATGCTGTACTGACAGAAAGGCATCAGAAAGAGACTGGACCTAAAAAATATGAACTCAAAAGTAAGAGAGCGGACACTCGGGGTTCAGAGGGAACACAATTCAGTTTTTTTGTTTTTAAAAAGTTGTTCCTATGATCTATGGCAGTCAGATTAAGTTCATGAACACATCTATCAACTCCCAACGTCAGAAACTGGAAAATAAAAGCAAACGAGAGGTTATAATAAAGTCTGGAGATGCAGGGAGTGAACAGGCATTGATGGTAAAGATTAAAAACAATCCTGTAGGGATTTTCTAATCGTCTTGATATCACTAATTCATAATGAGCCTTGTTTGGATATAAAAACTCACAATACACAAAATCAGCCTCTTGTGCATTGGGAAATACCAGATGATCAGAAGTGTAAGACAAGTGTTAAGTCTTTGCTTTTGCAGCTTTGACAAGAGAACCACGTATGTTCCTAAGCACTGACTGCACTTTCCTAGACCACAGAAACAATGTACTGTACATAAAATCTTAAACTGAGTGGCATTTCCCTTTAAGTAGCCTCCAAACTAACATATACACAGATACGCACTCAACAAATATACACTCAAGCGCATCCTATCGTAATCCATCTGCAAAATGAAACATTCAAAAATATTTGCCTTCTCAATACTCTGGAAAAATATAGTACTGTAGGTCTCATATGTTGTATCTCTTAAATCGACTACTTTTAAAAAGGAATAATTCAATATTCTGGGGAATGCTCTCACTCGGGGTCTTTCCGAGAGATAAACGAGAAGATTGACACCACTCTCATGTCTCTGCGGTAAATATGAAGCTACAACTAGCGGACAGTTAGCTTAGCTTAGCATAAAGACTGGAAACGGAGGGGAACAGCTAGCCTGGCTCTGTCAAAAGTAACAAAATCCTCTTAAAAGCACCTCTAAAGATCACTAATTACCATGTTTTATTTAGTTTGCTTAACACCAAAGTGTAAAAAAACTAAATTCAGAAAATAGTCTGGTGCATAACCTCGTCTAAAACCGCCTGGCGTTAGAAGGACGCGGGCGGCTGTGTTGGTGAGGCCGACAGGAGTTGTTGAATGAAACATGATCCAGGAAGTAAAGGAGTAACAGAGTAATGAGTTTAAAAGCTTATCGACACCAAAACACTGCACAGCGGCTTGTAATACTCAGCAAAATAAAAACAGTTTTATCTTGGTAAACAGGAGAAATATAACACGTGGTTGACCAACGCAGCAACCTGCTGGATGACTCTTGTTGTGCTGCAGCAAAAGCTGAGTCTGGTTCAAATGAGAGGGCTGCGTTTCGGGCTAAAGTCAGTCTGAACGCAGCTTTATACAAAGCCAGGCTAACTGTTTACCCTCTGTTTCAAGACTTTAGGCTAGGCTAAGCTAACCAGCTGCTATCTGTAGCTTCGTATTTCCCATAGAGACACGAGGGTGGCATCAATCTTTTCATCTACTTGTGACCGAGAAAGGCAATAAGCCCATTTCCCAAAATGTCTAACCATTCTTTTAATTCCAGTCAGGCTGAAAAATGTTTCATTCTTTGAAAGCCCTGTTCTCAATACTTTAGTGTAAATAATCTTGCAACAATTAGCTTCACGTTTTCACCCAGATAAAAAAATATTTACCAACACCTGAAACACAAGAATAATCTCACATATATGACATTTACCCTAATTGTGAACAAGTTTTGCCTTCATTGTCCCAACTAGAGTCACTCGGTCCATATCTGGGATTATTATTCTTTAGGATTTTTCTGTTTTGGCCATGCACCTCCCGTCCTACATCTCTACCGCTCCTGATAACAGCCCTTTTCTATACAGTAATGGACACTAAATGTCTAGTTATGGATCTGGTCCCATCTGCCCCAAATACTCCCAAAGTCCGCGGTTCCCTTCTTCCTTAAGGATTGCACCCAAGTGTTGGCAGCAACAAGGAAAAGCACATTAAAAAATAGACATCTTTAAATAGCTATTCAGCTTGTCTAAGTGCAGCACAATCGGAAACATTAAATTCAAGTCATTATTATTTTCTCCCCTCCCATGTATCATACAATGAATATAACAAAAAAAAAAAAAATCATTTTCAGTTAAGAAACTAAATGTGAAAGGATACATCTTTGATCAGACAAATAAACAATATACTGCAGCCACACTGTAACATCCAAAAATAGTCTTAAGTTGAAATATATATATTTTTTCTGCCAAAGAAATGCTGGCGTTCTAAGTCACTCTAAGTAGATTTAATATACTGTTGAGGTGTAATTTGTGTTTTTCTGCCTCCGTTAATCCTCTCCTGACAGTCCTGAACACGATGTCAAACCGTCACGGAATAAAAAACTGGCGTCCGCTGTCATTTGGCACATGGGGTGCTCTCATTGGCCGCCACGCTGACGTCAGGGTCGTCGTCGTCTGTGGCGACGGCAGCAGCATCAACGCTCTTGTCCTGGTGGTCGTTATTATTATTACTATTGTTGTTGTTGTTGTTGCTGTTGTTGTTGTTGTTGTTCTGGACACTCGGGAGCCCGTGGCAGTTGTTCTGGACCAGAGTGGGGTTGCTGAGCCTCAACTCCTCCAGTTGCTTCCATAGCTCGTCCCTCTCCTGCTCCTTCTTCTTCTCCC